AATAAAATTATGAGAGTAGCATTTATTTCGCTATTATAATCTTACTGCAAAACTTATAATTAAGAACATTTAAATGGGTAATGAGATATATTATAAAATGAAAAATTACAATGAAATTGGTATTATAAAATTATATAATTAGTCCAAAGGGGTCTCTGAGGGACTACTGTTTTCGTTTTGCGATTTTGCGTCGAATCACTCTGAATGTCCGTTTCACTTTTCAAACTGTTGCCAAAAAATATTATCGCCCTGTAAGATCTATGAAGAAATTAAATAATAAGGAAATTGAATAAATGTATATATGCTTCTCGCATTGTGATAAAACAGCGGTACCTAGAGCCATCCAATTTTGAATGATGAAATCCTACTGCGAATGTGGGCATCTGGAAGCCCAAATTTGAAATTTGTTTTATTATCGATTTCATATTTTGTAAACCTTTAACGAATTTTCGATTAACAAACTCAAGGTTTCCAAAGCGAGCCATGGCAACGTTGTACAGAAGAAAACATTTTTATCTCCAGCGCGCGAGACTGTAAATCGGAAATTCTAAAGATATGTTCAATTTTAAATTATTTTGCGATATTGCTCTTGAACTGAACTTTATGGTTTAAATGCGAAGACCATAATATTTAATATATAAAGGTAACACACAAAATGTTAAAAAATGCCTCTTTAGACGTAATTTAAAATTTGAAAACTGTCATTTTTTTTTTTTTTTTTTTTTTTTTTTTTTTTTTTTTGTTATTGTAGTTGTTGTTGTTCAAGGTACTTAGCCATAAATGTTAGTAATTGTAAGTACAGAGTGAGAGCAATCTTTGTTTAGTTTAGTTCAAATAAAAAGGTTATTTAAACCTTCTTTTGCAGTATCTGTTCTTCAGAGTCGTCGCGAGAATTTACTACGCAGTCTATTCGGTGGAGTCTAGTCTTTGATGCTCCCAAAACAAACAAAAAGACTCTATAAGATAAAACTAAAATTTCTAACGTTAAATTTTCTCTTCAAGAAAGCGAGAGGACAATAGATCACTGGGACTCCTGAGAAATAAAAAAGCGATTGTACTTTTTATGATTCTGAGCATTGGATTCTAAAAGAAAAAGTCGTTTTCGCCCTCTTTTTCCCTTAGTTCAGATTTTCCGGCCGCAGAGTATTTTATCACTAAGACCAATCGTATTGAATTTTATATGAAATCCTAGTCAATCAATCGAATTTATGTCAAACAGATATAGTACAAGTAAAATTTAAGAGCCGTTTCTGATTAAAGTGTATTCCAATATTCGTCCGTTAGAAACTTTTTAAATTTATAAGTTTCTTTGTCATAAGGTCGGCGCCGGGAAGCTGTTATCTGTTTTACAGGCAATCAGGGTAGTCCCCCTGCTTATGCGTCTGTCACTCAGTGAATCAGTAACATTATAAATAGTTTCACAAAGGCGGAGGTGATCTCTGTCCGTAGTTCTCTAACGGAATAGAGGACAGAATGCACTCTTAGAGATAACGATACAAAACAATAACCTGCAAAATAATCATAACTGATTATCATGAACTCGCCTCATCAAAAGATTATAACCATAAGAGAATATTTGTAGAATATTTTAACATTTCAATATCAATCCTGCTATATAAATTCTCTCGAAACCTTGAATAAATGGTTTTTTAATAGTTATTGGCGGTTAAACGAGATGTGCTTTTTAATATGCGTAATAACGAGCGCATTTCAAGCGTATCAAAGAATCCACTTAACCAGCGGGCCTACCGGAGGCCGAGGGGTAAAGTCGCTGAATACTGGTAGTTCGGTTCGGGGCTGGATTCCCGGCGTATGTGTTGGCTGCCTGGGTGTTTCAGTGTTTTTCCTCATGCGTAACATGTATACGATCCATTTCATTAGAAAGTTCTATACGAAGGCATACCTTCCCTTAGACAGATAGCCCTCATGTGCTTTGCCATAACCAAACCAAAACAAAAGCACTTTAACCGGCTCGTTTCAAGTTGTTTGCATTAAAATTTATACAGTTATTTGCAAAGAAACACATGCATTAGTTTCAAGTTTAAAAAGAATTCCATCTGGTCTGTATTTCATGTTCATCTTACAGGAAATAAACTTTTACATATCAATTCTACCATTGACAAAGCAGCACAGGTGTTACAACGAAACTTACGTTGACCAATTCCGTTTAATGGTAATTTTGTTTAATCGAAAGAACTTTAAAGCCGAAATGATAAATAAAAAAATTAGTCACATTTAATCTATGATTTTGTTTTCTTTGCCTCATTATCAAAAGATAAATTTATGTGTTATATCTATTTTATTGTGCAATAAATGATCTGAGAGGATTAGTGAAAAATGGAGCATTAGGATAAACATGTCTAGAAAATGATTTTCTTTCTTTAACTTTCTCTGATCGCTCAAATGAAATTTTAAATCATTGGAGGGGTAAACATTAAAAGGAGAGTAGCAGCATTTTTTATTTATGAGAAAAAAATGCATACATTCCTACTTAAATTTTAAGTTTGTGAGAAAATATGTCAGTGAATTCTCTATGATATTGATTATATTTCAAACATGTTTTCATGAAAATGAAAATTTACAGAACATATTTTATCTCTCTCGTTGTTTTTTTTTAATCCAAAAGGGGCTATTAGTGTCTAAATAAGATTCTGCGTGAAATCATTATAAATGTGTTGTTTCACTTTTCACTCAAGTCAAGTAGCCATTCTGCGAATTGTAAGATATTAATGTTTCAAGTTGAATCTGTCTGCGGTGACTAGCAAAATAAGCAATTTGAAAGTAATAGATTCAATTCTTAATATTCGTTTCTTACTTTTTAATTGGATCAATTTAAATAATAAAAGTGAACTTAATTCGTGATCTATCTAATTAAAAATATACAATAGTTTTATAGAATTGCGTTATATATATTGTTTTATTATTTATTTCATATTTTACAAAATTTTAAAGAATTCAAACTCAACGATTTGAAAGCGAGTAATGGCAACAGTATTGTTATCTCCAGCGCGCGAAACTGTCTATCGGAAATTCTAAATACGTGTATATGGTTTTTAAATAGGATTTTTTTGCCAAACTGAATTTTATGTGGCATAATTGCAAAGATTGTGATATTTAATACACAAATTTTACATACAAATAGTTAATAACAAATATGTAAAAAAATTTTGGAAGCCATCTTACCAAGAAAACTGAGCATTGTTATGATCAACTGAAAACATATGCTGCTAGGCTGCTTTTAAAATTTTCGCGATTTTATCGTTGGCGTATGTGGAGGAAAAACTATGTTTAATAATAAAGCTTAAAAGACGAAAGAAAATAGGTTAACAGAAAAAGAGCAGAAGTTGCCTTTTCTATATCCATATATTTAAATTTCAATTATATTAATTTTTATCGTGAGTTTACTAAATTTGAGTTATAGGATATTAGTCTAATACATTAATCGTAATAATTGTGATAAGCATTAAAGACTTATTTGTGTAGTTTTCAAATCCATATTATTTTCTTGTTATAATTGATATCAAAATAGGTAAGTTTTACAAAAGATTTTTGTAATACATATTACACTAAATATATTTAAAAACAAAAAGAATAAATAAAATAGATATATAAATAAAAATCTGAAAGCTTTCAGATTTTATATTACATCACAAGGTTTTTTTTTTTTTTTTTTTTTTTTTTTTTTTCATTGACACAGACATATTAGTTTCCGGAGCATTTGGGCTAATGTCTCTTTGCGCTAAAAATATTTAAAAACAGTGTATCTTTAGACTTTCCGATAGACATTCCCAAGCGCTAGAAATTTTTTTTTTTTTTTTTTTTTCGTACAGTTTTACATGGCTCGCTTTGGATTTGTTGAGTTTGTTAATCGAAAATTGGTTAAAGGTTCATAAAATATGAAATAGACAATAAAACAAATTCCAAATTCGGGCTTCCATGTACTCATATTCGGATGGAGGACTGCGTTATTCAGAATGTGATGGTTGTAGGTGCCTTTGTTATTTTGCAGTGTGAAACAAATGCATGCATTCATGCAGATTTTTCATCATAGGGCGATAATATTTGATGGCAACAATTTTAAAAGTGAAACTGGCATTTATATCGAGCCTTTCTGGGCTAACTCCTCTTTGGGCTAAGCCCAACAGCGGCCGAGCGATAAAGACGCTGAACACTGGTAGTTCGGGCAGAGGTTCAAATCCCGCGAATGGGTTGGCTGCATGGGCGGTTTCATGGTTTTCCCCATGTGTAACGTGTATACGAGCCAGTTTCCCTTAGACAGTCCTCCACGAAGGCATGCCTCCCTTTAGGCAGATAGTCCTCGTGTGCTTTGTCATAATTAAATAATCCATTCATTCAATCCATCTATCCTCTTTGGGCTAAATTTTGTCAAATCTTGAGTCAGCTTTTGTATTATGAAAAGGCCCTGAACCATTGTTTTACGAAACATCAGTTATCTGAAATACCTTTACCTATTTTATTTAGGATAAGTCGGCTTGTACTATTTAGACTTGCGTTTAAGTAGATTGAAAACCAGAAAGTAAAAACTGATATTGTGAACCATTTTAAGGTAAAAATATATTTTTAAACAATCATTTGCGGCAAAATCTAATAAATTCTGGATATCGGTAGCTGAAATTAAGCAATACAGGTTTGCAATTCTGAGTATAAAAATGATGACAGTAAAGTCATCATTTTTGGAAAAATATTTGTTTTCACCGCCTTCAATTTAGTTTTTTTTTAACATCAATCTTCTTCGCGACAAGTTCCATTCATTACAAACGTTTTAGAAAAAAATGCGTTCTCAGGTAAAATATAATGTGTTTCTTTAGTATCACGAGGTCTTAATCTACTATTCGGCATGCCTCCTATCTTCTCCAGACCATTAATTTCACAAGCACAATGGTTAATCTACATAACAACATACATAGCACATTATGAGGAGACTTTTAAGGATATCGAGATGCAGTTTTTTCTTTTCTTCCCAGAGCTGTGTTGAAGAATTTAGCGAAAACCTAAATTGCATACAAATGTGAACTTCGGAAGCAGGGATACTGCTTTGAAAATAATGCGAAATACTTAAATCATACTCGGTCATCTTGATACTTTGCGAGATTTCACAGATCTAAAGTAAGATTGTATTTTTAATTTTTTAAATCGGGGTTTTAATTTTTCTCTTGCAATATATCGAAATTTTAAAATGTTATTTGTGACATTATATTTTACATAATTCAGCTATTTATTTTAATTATAGGTCACCTAGCAGAAATGTTAAGTATTTATTGAAATGTAAGCTTATTTAGAATTCCCTTAAATTATCAGGTGTAGATAAGAAGATAAAGTTCATAAATATTTATACATTATTCCCTGTGTTTTAATTATAATTTTATAGATAAATTACAATATTATCGCGAATATTTCTTTAGTTAGCCTTCTTTATTTAGCCCCCCAATGAAAGCGTAGTCTATAATGGTTTATTTGTTTTCATGTCACATCATTTTACTAAAATATTGTCTCTAAAGTATTATCTTACGTACAAAATTATGAATATCTTTATATTAATTATAAAGACGAAAATTATATTTGATATTAGCCATTTTTGTTCAGTTTTCTCATGTCTAAATATTCCAAATAATTTAAAATTTTCACTAATATATGAATTTTTATATCAAATTATGTATGCTTCTTCAGTCCGATTATTCTGTATTTTGAACTTTAAGCATTTATAACCGTAATTTAAAGATTTTTCTGATTAAAATCGTAATGTACTTTTATTAATGGAAATGTTAATCTACTAACTCTATTCAAATATTTTAATGTCATGACGAAAATTTTATTTTTGTTTAGATAAAATTCATAGATACGACATTAAAGTATCGAATGGAATTATGAATTTAAAGATTAAAAAACCGTAAAACATTAAATGTAATGACAGAGAAAGACATAAGATGTCATGAGAATTCCATACGAATTCGGTTTTCTGCAAAAAGTGTGATGGGTTTCCAGAACAGGAATATCAACAATGTCTAAAACGGTTATTTATTTAATATTCTCAGAAATATTAGTGACTTTCGGAAACCGTCTGAAAATCATGAAAATACTATTTTTATTAAAATTAAAAATTACGGAAATAAGCGTAAACATTCTCATAAAACATTTATACAGTCTGAGAAATGTACGCAGATTTAAATAAATTGGAAAGATGTCCTATTCCACACAGTTATAAGTATTTATTTAATTTTATAAAAATACTTTACATTTGATTACGAGTTTCTTTAAAATGATTCCTTGTTCAATATTCAGCAATATACTAGGTGAGAAATTATGAATTTGGGACGTGGTTGACTCAATACTTGTAGCTCTCGTAACCAACATAAGGCTACCTATTTTATTTTCATAAACCAATTTCAGTGTTTCGATGGAAATGGTATGAAGTTGCCCTTAAAAGCTGCCTTTGATCAACTGATCATATCAAAGCACTCAAGGGAATACATTCCCTCATAAGAAATGCTTCTAGGGAGGACTTCTAGGATCATAAACTAGGATCGTATTTATGTTTCACATAAGTTAATAGAGTTAGACTTCGTACAGCTCACTCGCTTCCTAGAAACTGAACATGGTACAAACTACCAATTTTTCGCACCATGCAGAGCGTATAAATTGTGTGGCAAAATTGAGCTAAATAGTGTAATCCTAATAGAAAATCCCACAGTTTTCTTAATTAATTGGTGAGATATCGCCTTTAATAACTATTTAGCTATTAAGAAAGTCGATTAAATATTTATTTATCAGCTCCTGATGGATTTTTGCTGAGATGAAAATACAAAATAAAAGAATTATCGTAACCAAATAGTGCAAAAGTATCGTCACCACATAGTGCAAGATGAGGTTAGTATTAGTATTAACGGGCGCAGCCCCCAGTTTACCTAGTGGTCAAGAGCCGGCCTAAAGGACCGCCAAACAAACCATCAAAAACGAGGGAGCCAGTAGTCCAACTCCGCCCCCCCCCAAAAAAAAATAAAAGAAGACCATATCAACAAAATTAAACTAGTCCCAGAGAAGCCAGGTCAGGGCCTCGAGTAACAACAAAAAAAAAAAAAAAAGACAAAGCAGACTCAAAATTACTGTGTATCAATTAGTGTGAGGACAAAATGTGGATCCTCAGTATGCATGATTTGAACAAGAAAATTGAAGAACAAGAATATGTGCTAGGGAAATAATGAACATTATTTAATATGAATAAGAAGACTATTGGAATTGAGAACTAGATCTACTTTTATTTTCTGTCTTTATTTGGAGTGGACTATATAGGTGTTTGCGGTCTGTTACGAGTTTTATTTAATTTTAATTACTCTATTATATTTTAAATTTCAGGGCTCGTTTTGCGTGAGTTTTATAACTGATTGGTTTTGCAAACTTTTGCAAGATGAGGTTGCGAAGAGTCAAATTTTTAGAAGGTCTAACTCTGGTTGGGTACATTATTGCTATATGCGTAAAACAGAAACAGAACAGAAATCTTCCAAAATACAGCAAGGAACGCACACAAATACAGCAGAAAATGATGCAATCAGATACAGCGGGGATGTGAGAAAAGGTTCAGTAGTCACATAATTAAGATTAACCTACTACTTTTAGACTAATTATATGCATTACGTTTGCACAATTTTACTGGCTGAGAAATATTACGAAAGCCATGACAAACAGAATAAAGTTTGTAGAGTAACTTCGAATTTTCCAACGTCAGAGAAATGAAGAAACGAGTAATGCCCTCTTTGGGACTGGAACCTCGGACTTCTCGAATACACATCGCGTGAGCTAACCGTTACAACACGAAGGTTTGCAGGAAGGAGGGACAAAATATCTTATATACTCCCCCTTTTAAAGGGCGATTGGGGATTAGGTAACCCAATCGCCAAATCCTGGTGGTAAAGAATCAACATCCACCACCTTTTAGTTCAGGCGCCACTGTAGAGTTACTTAGAACTTTTTAATGTCAGAGAACTAAATCGCCGGGACACGAACCTCGGACCTCTCCAATGCGCGCCTAGTGTGCTAACCGTCACACTCCGAAGGCATGCAGAGAAAGGAGGGCAAAAATGGCTTATAAGTTTAAATCAAATCTATCTATCTGTAAATATGTAAATCAAATTACGAATGCAATCAAAATGTAATCTATCTTTGTAAATTAAAATGAAATCTTAAAATTTGTAAATTTGTCTCAAAATAAAATGTAATCTAAAAATTTGTAAATCAAATCTATTTCTTTACAAATAGCTGTAAAAAGTTCGAAGTCGAAATAAAAGCTCTTGCAAGAAATCGTGATTAAAAAGAACTCGGTAAATACCAGCGTTAAGGTTTGGAACTAAAATTTCAAGTTTTTCCCAAATGTCATAAATGTGTAGTATTTTCTTGATTACAATACCAAAACGACCATCTCACTTTCTACCTTGACTCATTCTCTTCCAATACACATGCAACCCGAAATCGGATAGATCAAGTACAACCAGAAGTTTTTGTGTGTAAGGATACGATATGGAAAGCCATCCTTCTGTATAATGTTTTTCGTCCATATTTAATGACTAGTGAGTTGTTAAATCATCGAGGCAGAAAAGAAGCGGCTATTTTATAGACTATTCTTTGGTGTTTCCAAATGTACTCCGTCAAAACATCCTCATAAAATAAAAAAAACATCTATAAAGTTTATGCAAATAAAACATAAATCTGCTGTTTGCAAACACTGTAGTAATCCCATATCGAAATTTCCCTGACGCAGAGAAACAGCTTAGGAATTTTGAATCGAAAATTAAACTATGTTCAAGATCTAAAGCACTAAAGTAATGATTTTATTTAGTTTAAGATAATTTATTTAAAATTTTCAGTAAGAGATAAAATGAAACTCAAAATGAATTGAGTGCATTCAGCTTAAGTTTCTCATTATATATACAGAATGTCTTTACACATTTTTGTATCCATTTTGATTTTCTCCATGAATTTATATATTCATTTTAAAATATAAACGTGACTGGCATCGAATTGGAATAAGGTCTAATTATCGTCTGCAGTATTAAAAATATTTTTTTTCTTTCAAATGCCGCTGAAAAATAAACAATTGATCGAAGGCTATATTTTTGCGCTGTCCGAAGTACTCTTATTTAATTACTAAAAAAAGATGCGAGAAGCATGATTTTAATATTTCTACATGTAAAATAAGTTACATATTTAATATGAAAAGAAAGAAACGTCAAAGTTTACATCTGACTGAGAAAAAGGCAAAACATGCATAACCAACGAGAATATACGGCTCTTATTAAATCTAAAATTGTATCTCATGTTTAAAAGAAAATCCAGTCCTCCCGAAAAGTTATTGCAAAATCTTTGAATATCTCTGTGGAATCTGTGAACAAGGTTATAAAACCTTACTTAACGCTAATCAAAACCAAAAAAATATTATATTCTTCGCCTAAAGCCAAAACATGTTTCTCAACGTAAGACTACGGGCAGCTTGATGTATGAAAATTATTTGGCAGGTAAAAAATGGAAATGTATAATTACAATTGATGAGGCCTGGATATACTTATCTGGTTGTAATAGGAAAAAGATTTCTTTGCTACCGACAAAGTGGAGAAAAAGACTTAATATGTTGGTTCAGGGAAAACGAGGAACGTTTTTTCTAAAGTTTTTATGGTTATTATTGGATTCTCTTATAACGGAAAACTTAAAATAAGGAAAGTAGAAAAACATGTCAAAATTAATTCCGATTAAAATCAGAAATTATTTTTAATGCATATATTTAAAGAAATCCCATTTGTTTATTTAAACAATCTTCACTCTGTTAAGTTCCATCAGGATAAGGCTCCAAGCTATAAATCTACTGCTCTATTTTTTGGAAAAATAAGAAATGAGTCCGGAATTGAAGCTACTGCCTTTAAATGCATCCCACCCAGGTGCCCTGATATATCTTCTATGGATTACTGTGTATTTAGACTTTTGAAACAAGCTCTTTATAAGCGGCATCCCAAAGCACTGGATGCACTCTGGAACATTGTGAAGGGGGAGTGGATTAAAATCAGCCTTCATGTTTTCATAAAAGGATTTTTATCTTGAAAATGAAGATGTAATATGTTGTTTAATATGCGTTAATCAAGATGTCCAACAAAACGGTTACCAGATCGAACATAAAATAAATTATAAGATTTGCTTATATAATATAAATCTTTGCAAAATCGTTACAAAGTTGTGTGAATACCCTCTGTATATATACGTATAACGTATGTGTGTAACGTTACAGTTTTTGCGGATGATGAAAACAATTCACTTTCTAATCATGACCGAAAACACTGCTGCGTAGATAACTGGAAATTGCGGTGTATTGGATGAACGTATAGAATTTCGGAAGAAACACGACCAGCTTGATAGTTAAACACAATTTATTTTTAGATGACAAATTTCTTAGCACGTGTCTACTTATGGTAGAACACTAGGAGTTATAAACGCGCCCCACAATTTTAGATAAGCAATTACCTCTTAAATAATGGAGAATAACTAGCAGAAGCCAAACGACACGTTGACATCAGGAAAGGGAAATGGCGAAAAAAGATGCGTAGTTAGTTGCAATATTATTTATAAACTTAAATTCTTTTAGTTCTGGATAGAGATTGGGTAATATGTTACAGTAGTGCACATACTGCAGAGAAAGTGTGACGTCAGTAACGCAAAATAGATGCATTGAAGGGGCGTGAATTTTAACTGAAAAATTAGAAATGCAAAGGTCTATTGCTAATTGTCTTTGAAAATTTATATTTTACATATATATATATATATATATGTGTGTGTGTGTGTGTATAATATATATTTTACATTATACATATATTAAAATACTATTATTATTGTTGTTGTTATTATTGCATTGTATGTGCTTAAATAAGTCACCTTATATATATGTTTGGCTTGTTCTAAATAGTTCCATATCCTTTGATTACAGTCAAAAGTCGTTAATCCGGACACCCATAATCCGGAATGATCTATAATCCGGAACGCACAATACGTTCACGCATGCGCATAAGCGTTTACGCATGCGCGTTTAATGTATAACGGACGGTATAATGTAAGCTAAAATAATCTAATTATATATTTCAGTTAATGTTGCAGATTGCGTTGTTCCTTAATCCGGCTTATTATGTTTTGCAGACTATCAGAGCAATTTTATAAAAGTAAGCTTGAACTTTCGATTATGTCAAATAGAATTTCCGATATATATTTACTAATATGTAAAGAATCCACAAAGCGAAAGTATGTTTCGATGTGCATCAAACAAAAAGTGGAATTGCTGCAAAAAATGGATAAAAGCATATCCTTTGTTTCTCTAACCATTCCGAAATCTGTTTATCAATTTCACGCTGCTCTGCGGGGGAAGGGGGAAACGTCACGGCGCGCAATGAACTGGAAGTTAATCTGTCAGCAATATCCTTATCTTCAGGGCAGATGTTTTTATTTTGTTCAGCTTATAATTCCTTACTAAATGTAGTATTTCATCTCGATGTATTCCGTCGTTGATATGATTTAAATCAAATTCCTCGTCATTATAAATATCACGAGTGCCACATCAAATAGTTTTTTGGCTGCAATTTTCTAATTTCGACTATGCGTAATGTATGCTTTACGCATGCGCGCGTTGAAAGAAATGTTTAATAAAGTAAACAAATAAATATTAAGCTTTTTTCTTTGTAAATTTTGATACCCTTTAGATCATAATTGCTCTTTATTTCATAAATTACGGTTTCAAATTTTTAATTTTATAATTTCTGCAATCCTATAATCCGGAAATTCTTCTATAATCCGGAAAAATCGATAATCCGGAATCGCTGAAGTCCCGACTAGTCCGGATTAAAGACTTTTGACTGTATATGGAAATTGAAAATTACTTTTAAAATAACAGTTTAAAAAACGCTAATTTTTCCATAAATTAAAAAAAAAAAAAAAAGAAAAGAAAAAGAAAAATAGAAGTGCAGTATGGAAGGAAATTTGAGATTCTTGTCAAGTTTGATGCAGATATAAATTTATTTATATTAATATTTCCACCAGGCAATACCTTCAAATTTTTATCCTTTAAAATGTTAATATACTCTTTCCTATTCCCAGAAGAAAGTAAAAATTTTTCGTGATCTATGAAACGAGAATGGCAAAAGAAGAGGAGGGTCCTGACCAACTGCGATCATGGGCCATCGCTATAGCTGCTTGTGTCATCAAGACGCTTCTTTGTGGTTCCAATAGAGTAACAGGCCTCTTCTATGTGGTTATGATTGAAACATATGGTGTTTCTAGATCTGAAGCAAACTTACCTTTCACAGTTCGTAATATATTGAGGGATATAGGAGGTACGTATGACTTACGTTATGTTAGTGAAATTCAAATGACACTTCTAATCACATATTTGAGAGAAAAACTTGGAAATATTAAAAATTACAATCCAAGCAGCAACCACAATAAAATTGATTAATTTGAGTGTTTTCTTTCTTTCTTAAGACTCCATTTATCTGAAAATGGGGAAAGTTTGAATGGAATTCATAAGTTAAGATAATATAATTTATTCCTTCAACTTTTCAGTTTAATACTAGCAAATATATGCATTTTAATCCAGAACAGAATAATATGTATAAGTAAATCAAGAGTAATTCGACATAGAATTTCTATATTTGTTTTGTTTCTACCCAGCTAGTTAATATATGGATATTAAATGTGCATTAAAAATAATTCGAAATGTTTAACGCATTCAGATATATACTAGTGTAATTTTTCTTTTATTTGAAACTTTAGACAAAAGCCAGATGTCTTTTCTGTGAAGAATGTGATGCATGGTGTTTCTAAACCTGGTCCCTGAAATCTATAATCTAGGACAGGCATGCCAAACTGAGGTGGGATAAATAGTCATCAGTATACGACGATGTGGGTCGCAAGGAGAAAAGCCATTTGATGTACTTAAATAATGAGTACATAGATAAAATCTTACCCATTTCTGCAGTTAATAAGGCATTTTCTCCCTCTTTAGAGCATGTCTTCGTAATGTAACGGTAGCACACTCGGCTCGCATTCAAAAGGTCCATGTTCGTGTCTCAGCAAGGGTAATGGGGATTTCTTTAGTTTCCTGAAACAAATTCTAAATGACTCTACAAATGAGCCCGAACTAAAAGGTGGTGGACAATAATTCGTCACCACCATAATTAGGTGGACAGAGTGCCCCAATCCCTAGTCCCGCTTTGAAAGGGGAAGTATATAAGGCATTTTCTCCTCTCTTCCAGCATGCGTTCGTGATGTAACGGTACCACATTCGACGCATATTGACACTGGTCATTTTTCATGTGTCCTGCATCAAAATATCCTAATGACTCTACAAGTTTCATAAAAAATAGAAGGGCGATTAAGAAATCCCTTGTAGAAAATTTATACTTAATGTTTCTTTCCCGACACATTTTCCTGTAACTACAATGGTGTGCATAAGTTAAGAATGAGGTTAAAAACTTAGCTAATCAGTGAAATGAAGACGCAGAGCGGACTGAATGACCAATAACAAGATCGACTAGGATCAGGAACGGTAGTACGTGCGCATACATGCAGGTAGACATATTGGGGCAGTGTCGGAGGCGTATAAAGCTCGCTGGCAATGTGGCTTAGCATTTCTGGGAAGTTATTCCAAAGTGTATGACAGTGTAGAGAATGTCGACTTGCTGCCTCTGTGTGAAATGTGGAACAATCAATCTGTTAGACGACATCTTGATGATTTTACCCGAGGTCGAATCATGGGAAAGACTGATGAATGTCAAAGTGTGATAAGAGTGGCTGCGGAGTTAGGGATTGCTCGCAGTATCATTTCACGACTTTGGAGAGCATTTAAAACTGCAGCATCAGCTGTCCATCGGTTCACTAGTGGTCTTCCACGAGCAACCACGGCAGCGAACGACCGATATATTGCCCTATAGGCAAGGAACAGGCTGTAGAAATCTCAAGTCAGATGAAGCAGGTGATTGGATGACCGATATATGGCATTTTACTGTGGCCAAGTGGCTGCACAATGGTGGTCTGTTTGCACAATGACCTGTACCGGTACCTATTAAAGCTTACTCATAGAAAAAGGCGTTTTCTGTAGCGCATAGAACACCAAAATTGTACAGATAATCAATGAAGTACAGATATTCAATAACAACTCTTTACTGATGAGACAGATTTAGTCCGAGTAGAAAGTCTATGTGCATGCACATCTGAAGAGAGTAAGGAACACGCAATAACCTCTCAACATCACCGAAAGGATAAGTTGAGGTCTCGTTTGTTGAGGCATCATGCTTGGTAACCGTACTTACAATCACATCTTCCAAGAAATTTCAGTCAGAGAGACCCTCTATTGTAATGCGGTTCTCCTTGCTTAAGTGCGTCTTTTGAGAAGAGCTATTGGGTCCTCAGTTGCACTTCATGGACGACAACGCTTCACCTCATCGCACAGTTGCTCTAGAAAAGCTGTTCGAGAGGGAGGATATTGAACACATGATTTGGCCGACAAAGTATCAGGTTCTAAATTCCATCGAGCACGTGTGGGACATTTTAGAGGGACACGTGGCAACACGTAACTTATCGATTGTAAGGATTTAGGGACTGCAATTGGCACTACAAGAAGAATGGGCAGCAAAAACTCATTGAAAACCTCATACTCAGCGCGGACAAACGATGTGAAATCTGCACAGTAGTCAGGGGAGATCATATCCCCTACTAAACTCTGAAGGTTGCTTGCTGGACCAATCACATGGATTTTTCGGCCTTCTCTCGCATTACGCTTCTATCTACTTTTTCAATAAATTTCCTTTTTATCCTTTTGATTTCTTTCTCGGAAGTTTTGCTTATATTACCCATGTTCTTACGCTTTGGAGATGTTATGGTATTATTTATATTGATTTAGAAATATTTTGCGCAACGTTATATTGGAAAAAACCATCTCGCCCTTAATTTTTGCACACCATTGTAGCTTTCGGATGTCTGCAGACAAGCTGCTTGCACCAGCGATTTTCTGAGAAAAGTTATTTACATTGTTACGCGCTACCGAAGGGAAAGGCTGGTAAGTGCATGTCAGATTCAGAGACAACCATTTAAGTTGTTCTTTATGTTTTTCCTTCGTGGCCGGTCTAGAAAAGCCATAAGGCGAGCTTGGGCTGGCCAGGAGGGTGGACCGCGCCATGCCTACCTAGCCACTTCACTGAATTTTTATTTTAGAGTTCAGTGGTACAGAATCTTTAATAACTTCATTTGTAAATGGGCTAATATATTTTTAAAATTTAGAAAGTATTTTCTCCTTCCTTTCCACATGCCTTCGTGAGGTAACTGGGAAGACACTAGAAGCGTTTACGGGATGTCCAGAGTTTGAACCCCAGCAAGGTATCGCATATTTTCACGTTTCCAGCATCGACATAACCTAATGACTCTACAAGTCGATTGGAAAATAATTTTTGGAATAGAATCGTCTCAAGAGTCCATGCGTCTCGACATTGGGCGGTATTCAAGTTTATATTAATATTTTATAATTATAAACTTGAGTTTTCTTGGGGGTAAACCGATGGCTGCAGAGAAATAAGTCTAGGACCGCGTATTTGACTTGCCTGGTCTAGCATGTGTATTTATTGAAAACACTATCGCACACTTTTGGGAAATTATTTACAAGCGCGTCGATTTCTAAGTAAATGCTGTATAACGAGTGGCATGCTTTGTTTTAAATTAGCTTATTTGGTTTTCAGGACCACTTGCTGGTATCATCGGTCAGCGTCATGGTCCGTTTATGGTAACATTGCTAGGATCATTTCTTGCAGCACTTGGGATAACGTTATGCACTTTTGCTCCTAATATTACCTGGATTTGTATACTTTGGGGAGGATTACATGGTATGTATTTATTTAATGCTTGATTTAAAGTCTTATAAAGTATATCTGTACACTAGTTGCCAACAAAGATTGAACTGCGCATTTGAACTTGATATTACAATTAACTCTGATCTCTAGTAGCCAGCATATATTTCTATGAAACGTTGATTTAAGTTTGAAAATCCCTGCCGAACAAGGCATACATTTTCTTTCCGATTTTGATCCTGAGAGCGTTATGACAAAAGTTATAGCAACGAAATGCAATAACATAAGTAACAATGCAATAACGTAAACATAATTTTAATAAATGCAATAACATAATTCCTAATAAAAGCAAATGTACTGTGATTCTACAATTCTAAACTAATGAGCGGACTGTAAATAAAATGCTACTTTGAATACAGGTATCCAAGTGAGAGTTTCTATCTATATACAATAGGTGGTGCTGTATTTTAACTTAACAGTAAATTTTGTTATTAAATGGGTCGTTTATTTATAAGCTTCGAATGGAAATTAATCAAAATCTATTACAGTAATTAAACATTTTATAGAGAAAGAATAATGCAATAAAGTACAATCTAAAAATTAAAAAATAATTAATTATTCATCGAATTTGAACTACTCCCAGGTGACCCTAAAACAAAAAAATCTCATGTGTACACTACATGACTTCCTCGTACGGAATATTAAATTGTACGCAAATTTCCTGCACTTCATTTAAACATATTGAATTAAGAGTTCATGAATTTTGAATTAAGTCTACTTCGTCCATAGCGCACAAACCACAACAGAAAAAATGCATTCTTCGAAGTTCACTATATTTATTTACCATAGCAACACTTCGCACTAGGTTCACTTAACAGTGTTACATCCCGTTCATTTTATAACTCAGAGCGCATAAAAATTATATCACCTGAAGAATTGCCATATGTTCTATCAAATACTGGAATAAATCTAAAACGATGTTTAAAAGAAATTAAACAAATAATAATAATAAAAAAAAAATTCTGAAATGTTTCAGATTTTAAATTACGTCCAAAGGGGCGTTTTTTTAACATTTTGTGTGTTTACCTTTCTTTATTAAATATCATGTTCCTCGCACTTAAACCATAAGATCCAGTGCAACAGCAATATCGCAAAATAGTTTTCAAACGAGCATATCTTTCGAATTTCCGATACAGAGACTCACGCGCTGGAGATAAAAAATGTTTTTTTCTGCACAACGTTGCCATTGCTCGCTTTGAAATCCTTGAGTTTGTTAATCAAAAAATTCGTCAAAGTTTTAAAAAATCGGAAATCGATCATAAAACAAATTTCAAATTTCAAATTGGGTTGGTCTTCACATGCTCATATTCGTTGGAGGATTACGTTAATCAAAATTCGATGACTCTATGTACCGTTATTTTATGACAATGTGAGAAATATACATACATTTACGCAGATTTTCATTATTTAATTTCTTCAAATATAATGCAGGACTCTAACATTTTATGGCAACAGTTTGAAAAGTGAACCGACATTTATCCGTCCGACGCAAAATGCCAAAACGAAACTAATAGTCCTTCGGGATTCAAATCCCTTTGGACTAAAAATTCACACACGATTCAGCGCCTATTACCTGAAGCGCACGCGCTACTCATTAATTCAGTTCTCACTTCGCGGCAAGGCAAAAATACATAAAAATTCAAAACATTTTCATTAATCATTGAAAGATATAGAAAAACATAAAACACGAAGTACAGGTAAAACAGTTGAAAAAAAAACAAATTTGACATCTAAAATTACAGTTTCTACGCAAAAATTAGCTAATAACTTAAATGATAATTCCAGAATGATTTAAGCATAATTTAATTCGGAATAATAAAAGAAGACGTTACTTTGTTGTTGCGAAGCTTAGTTTTTCTAGATTAGCAACAAATCCACTATTCTGCTAAATTTCAAATGTAAACACATATGGCTATCATGCTAAACAAAAGTTAGACTTAACCGCACTTAAAAAGCTTTTAAATTGTTGATAATTCCGCAATATTTGCATGCAGGTTAACTAAAGGCGTAAAAACCTTAACCGGAAGTTAAGAACAACATAATTCAATCATTTTTAAAGCAAAAAATGTTTAGTTTACAGACATATAAGAATAAAGAAACTGAACTCACTGATATGAGTAACAGAGTGGATATATATATATATACTTTTGGTGCGCCTGATTGCAACCAAAATGGAAGGTGCACATCTACACGTCATAACAGTCCTATATACAAAATTTCAACTTTTTGAGGCTCCTTGTTTTGAGTTATGCGAGATACCTACATACGTACGTGCGTACAGACGACAAGAAAAAAAATCTCTTTAGAATTCATTTTAAATCAATTTTACAGGGATTACGCCAAAAAATTGCATTTGATGCGGTCAAAACGGACGTTGAAATATGATACCCGACGCAATTATAATACTAACAACAAAGGAAGTATGAAAAAATACAATGAATTCTCGAAGAAAAAACGGAAAAATCGGGGAAGATAACCCCGAAGAAATGTTGGCGCACAAACAACTAGCAAGCAAGCAAGAAGTGGGTAAATGAAAGAATTACTTTTAAAGGAAAGAATAAATTTAATTTAAAATTAGAATAAAAACCTGAAAATTTGGCTTGGTAAATTAAAAAGCAATAACTAGTGGAAGGGTTATATATTAGTGAAAATGTTATAAAGGCAATATTTCTCTAAGAAAAAGAATTAAAAGTCAATGTACTTAAATTCTAATTAAAAATAAAGCAATCGGCAAGTATTAAAACCTCATGTGAATGGTTGGTGGGGGTCGTGAAGAGGTAGAATGGAGTTTTAGTAGGTTAGAATAATGGTTATTGGGTATTTAAAATAGAAAACTGGAAACGAATGTTGAGTGGAAACGCAATGATAAACAAAAGTTGAAATGGAAATGGGAAAAAAGAAAAACTAGGAAAAGAATTGCTTGGAAAAATCAAAAATTAAAATTAAAAAACAGAAAAAAAAATTGGTTGAATTAAGAATTTAATGGGAATTTGTATTTGCAAATAGAATGAATTAGAATGAAATTAGTAATTTTTTAGAATTATTACTTAGTGTTCCAAGTGTGGTAAAAGGATTATTGAAAAGAGTATGATTCAACATGTTTATAAGAAAGGATGAAGAATATTATTCAAAACGTAATATACAGAGAATGGGGTAAAAAAGTGAGTCGCAGTAGTAAACAATTGGGTATAACTAAGAATTGTTAATGTATATACACATATAATTCTGTGTGTAAAATAAATAAAAAAGCCAATTCCAAACAATTATAATAATAAGGAAATGAATTCAGGGGAAAATAATATATAATTGCATAATATGTTAAAAGATTAAAAGTTTTTTTAAAACCCTTTTTTTGACTAAAGTTTCATTAATGTAATTTCAACGAAGGAAAAGCTTTTTAAAGAGAATAATAAAAGACATATAAATAGAATAAAAGACAGTATTTTATATTGATAAAGACAATATTTCTGATACGAATAAAAGACAATATATTTTTATTAGCTTTCTGGAAAACGAACACATTTTTATCTAATTTGAACTCATGGTATTGTATAAGGTATAAGGTAAGCGGAATCCTGGAGAATTTTGGCATTGTTCGGCATATCTATTTGTTTCCGTAACGATGAGATCCACTAAGCTGGCATTTAGAAAATGCTTAAATATTGTAAGACACCCAAACTCGTATCAAAACTTATATTTACCTTTGGTGTTCCCCAAAATTAAATAAGTGTTGGTGCATGATCTACTAAAGTAGATACAATTTTAGTCCATGCTCATCCAGGCAACAGTACAGATCCATCATCGCTGCTCTCAGATTCACTAACCGAACTTCGGAACTTCAGAAATCGGTTACTTCAGAATCATTTCAGATCCATTTATACTAAAATCAGAATCAAATTTACTGTCTGACTCTATAATGTACAAAATGTTAGTATATTTTATAACAGAACAGAACGCACGTGTATTCATAATGAGACTAAGTAACTGGGCTAACGATAAGATTACAAAATACATATCATAATTACCAGTTTGATTAGTGCTGACATCTAGTTTAGAATAAACTATCACTAATTGCATAAAAATATTATTCTGGTGCTGCCATCTGGTGTGTAAAATAAAAACTAAACCTTTTTCCGGGCCAAAAATAATGAATAGGTTTTAATCTTTTTAACACGTTGCTTTTGGGAGCTCGAGCCCAGAAACGGGCACGTGAAATAGAGGGCGAAACCTCACCCCGTCATTTTGACGGAAGCGAGAAGGAAGGGGAGCAACCTTTCAGTTAAGACACAATAACACGCCGAACAAATACTAATTCAGAAGTCAAACAACAAAAGTTAGTGTTATATTTCCAAACTTTTCACAGGACTAGTTCCTTATTCTGTATTTTATCTAGTCCTGTGAAAATTTTGAAGATATAACGCTGATTTTTTGTTGTTTGACTTCTGAATTAACCTTTAAATTGTTGACAATTCTACAACTCTTGCATGCAGATCAACTAAAAAAGACCTTAACCGGAAGTTATCTATCAATCAATCATTTTTAAAGCAAAAAATTCAAAATTTACAAACATATAAGACTAAAAAAGACTGAGCTCACGAAACCCTATTTACATAGTGGGTAGACATTTATACATATATACTTTTGGTGCTACCGATTGCAACCAAAAAAGGAGATGCACAACTACATATTATAGCAGGCCTACATACAAAATTTCAACGTTCTGAGTCTACTCATTTTTGAATTATGCGAGATACATACAAATATACATTTAGACGTCACGAAAAAACTCTCTTCTGAATTCATTTTAAATCAATTTCAAAATCTGTTTGAGGAGTCCTTTATTCTGTCCTTACGTACGTCAGGCAAAAAACATGGTTAAATTGCATTTGATAGCGGTCAAAATGGATACTTTCGTTGAAATATGATACCCGAAATTTTTCGTGATTACAATACTTCCTTTACTTCGTACAAGGAAGTTAAAAATGAGATATGTTTTACTCATGTTGGCGTTTCTGGAGATTTGAGGTTTATGGAAACTGTATTATTCGCAATGTCATTAGCGTGGAAAAGGAAAGAGACTTTGAAATCCAGCCTTATGGCAATGCAAGAACTGAATCCATGTTCAGCAATTATTCGATTAAATGGCATTCGGTTAAATGGAGATTTGAAAGTTCGAAGAAGAAAACATGACTAAAAGTCAACTATCTTGACGTAAATAGCTTATTAAGAATAACGGTAAATGTCACAACAGTAATCTTCGTTGCTGTAATTAAAATAACCTAAAATTCTGTGAGTAAAAGCGGTGGTAATACCTTTCATTCTCATCCTCATATTCAAAAAATGACTGGCAGTTTACATATTTGTGTCGAATAAATGTCATAATGAAGAAACGCAGATTTGTCTTTGTCTGCCATTAACATATATATATAGTTCACTATAAAAGTATTACTTTATACATAACCATATTTCGCTGTATCGAAACTGGTGCATTTATTATTGAGTATTTACATACTACATCTGACTACAATAAACGTCATTAGGATTACTAGTATTTTATTTGAATAATTCTTAGTGTGAATGAATAATTGTTATTACTGTGAAGATACACATTATGATTTCTACATTTTACAGGTTTTGGAGTTTCTTTGGGCAACACTTTGCTCCAGATAGTCGTAAATCAATATTTTTGCAAGTATCGGGCATCGGCTTCAGGATTGGTAGTTGCTGGATCATGCTTTGGATCTCTTCTGTGTCCTCTACTCATTGAGTATTTCCTAGTCAATATAGGATTGTCAGGAACATTCCTACTGATGGGCGGTATATTACTACACGCGTTACCAGCATCCTTGATGATGAAGAATCCTCGATGGAATAAAAGATGTGTTTCCACAAAGAATGCAAATTTGAAAGATAGCACAACTACGGATCCAAGCAAAATGTCATTAGCCGAAGTACAAACTGCTAAACACGATGAAGCTTTATCTACAATTCAAAAATCGTCTGTCATGTCAGCGGAGCTCGATACGAATACCTTTCCCATATTGAAACAGCAAATTTTAAAGAAAACATTCCTATTTCCTAAGATTAAAATTTCAAAAGAACATTTCTTAGAAACTAAAGACGACGGAAATCCTAATGCTGAAAAGGGAATAGATAATCCTGCGTATCAAGGGCAGAGATTGCACTTTGATGCAAATACTCTTATTCACCAGGTACCTTATGTAAATATTATGGATAAAACCAAAACATGTATATTAATCAGTAACAAAAACTACATTCAAATTTACGTTTTTCTCAATTACTGTCTCATTTGACATGAATTAATGGAATGCCATGCACTAATATAAGCGATATACATTTACATCATGTTACACATCAGATTTAGATAAAGAATTAATTACATTATTTAAAATATTCTCTTTAATTACTTTCAGGAGAAGTCTTTAAATAGAGCTTCCGTCGCCGACGAGAGTACGAAGAACAATGATCAGCAGAAAGTTTCTTTCATCAATGAAATATTCGAAATGATTTGCCATCCAATGTTCCACATAATAAGTTTATCTTTGGCAGCGTACAATATGTTGTTTGATCCATCGCTAGCAGTGATCGTGGATTATGCCAAAGACAAAGGTTTTGAAAACACTGTGGCCAAATATTTCCTCAGCCTTTTATCATTAGGAGATTTACTTGGAAAACTTTGCTTCGGTTGGATGACTGACAGGAATTATCTGCCTCTGCCAAAGTATATGATGCTTCTTCTTGTCGTACAGGGAGTTTGCTTTCTTCTCGTACCTTTGTTTGACGGTGTTCATATACTGATGACATTGGTTGTGATCTACGGAACTGCGTCTGGAGCAACACTCGTCATGTTTCCTATTCTGGTTGAAAATTACCTAGTATCAGTTCAGACTTTAGCTATTGGATGTATATCATTCCTTAAGTGGAGTGCTATCATTTACTGTCCCGCCATTAATCGGTAAGAATACATTTTCCCTTAATATTATGCATATTAATTTCATTTTTATTGCCTAAGTTCACTATTATACCCCGCCACGGTGTAACGTCAGATATATCTGGGGTCTAATGTAAATTATTTAGTGATAGAGCGAAGTAATTGTTTTTGTTACATGCTTCATGATTTTCATATTCTAACTTTCCTTAATTCCAGCTTACTTACCAGTAGCTCCTTTTCGTTTATAATACACTTAAACTTTCACCAGTTGTACAATTTACGCAGTTTGATAAAAGGAAAATGAGATAAATAACAGTTGTCCAAAGTTTTTAACTAGGTTATAAGATTCTAGTTAAATTGGTTGTCTTGGTCAACTAAAATCCTTCAGCAGTGTGTAGAAAAGTATTAGCTTATTTCTAAAAGGATAGGGCAACAAGCACAAAGAAGGATTAATATATTATTTTATTTAACTTGAGAATATTTATAGGTGGCCCCTCTCGCGCTTACAAGAAGCCTCCACTTGGGCTTTAACTTAGGATAGAAAATAAGAAATTAAACTTATGCTAACTAACTAAAACCTTAGTTGCACAGAAATGCCTAACAGAATTGGCCCTTAATTAAACCTCACTGAATACTAATAGGCACTTAACAACACGGCCGAACGTAGTAAGAGTTTGCTTAACCTATATCGTACCAAGCATTAAAAAGTTAATACATTTTTATAAATGTTTAAATATGTGTTTCTCTAATTTTTAGGACGATGAGAAAATATGGGTTAAAGCAACGACATAGCCGGAAGGCAGAACACTGTACTAAGCTCTACTATGGAAATGAACGACACTTCCCCTTAAATACTGATTCTACCTCATTTACATATAACGCGATGATGAAAACTCATTCCGGCAGGGAATTTTAAGTGGGAAACAAGAAAAATAAAGGAAAGCCGGTTCAAAATAAAAAAAACAAATAACTATTAGGATATTAAAATAACCTCAACAAGTTAATGGGTTTTCTGTTCTTGTCAGCCAAAAATCTGACTTGAAAAGAACTAAAGCTATTTGTAGAAATTAAATCTTCTTTACTTAGCCCAAAAAAATACGCCATATGTTATCTCAGTTCTTTGAAATATGCAGAATGAACTTCTTTAATATGCCACAGGAAAAGATACTTGAATTTCCTTAAGGAAATGTTGTGTCACTACCGAAGTAACCTTTAGAACCTTGATTGATGCAACTTCATTATTAGTAACTTTATTGATATAACTTCCAAAACACCTGTTCAACTAGATATTTGTAACAATGCTTCGTGTTTAACATATCTTATGTTTTCTCAACAGATCTCTTCTAGTCATCCGATACATCGACCTATATACGCAACTAATACATAATTATTACTGCTGTTCCTCTTCGAATAAGCCATGTTATAATTGTGTCCAATTCTTCAAACTATATTTTTATTCAACTAATCGTGCAGCAGTTACTTTATCGAATGTTTTTTCGGTAGAAGTTAATAATTTGGAGATGAAAAAATAATTTGAAATAGCTGCATTACATTTTGGCCAAGAAATTAATTTTTTTAATTTCAGCAATTCTCTGATTTTATCAAATGTCTTCGTTGCACAATATTGGATACCAGCTGCCAAGAATAACTTTCGATGTTGAGTTTGCAATTTTTGTTCGCATTTAAAAATATTGGAAAAATATTTTTTCTCAGTCACCAGTGGATTACTTACACATATTTAGCTAGTTTTTAAAATTATTTATCACATATTTATAAAATATTAAAATATAAAATCCTGTACTAATTAACTTTACATTTAAAGAGTGAAGACCTTGTTACCAGAGAAAATAATTCATCCATGTTCAACAGCAAATAAAATTTGTTACAGCATTTGCTTCTAAATTATAATACTGTAGTTCTAGTTAGTGCAGTTTGACTATAACCACATTACCTATGGTTAAACATCGCGCACCAGGAAACTACTCTTGAACCTAAACTTACCTGTGTAAGTATCCAGCCGCCTTGATCGGGATAGTGGTTACGGATGCTTGCTATTCGGCCGATGGACCGGGTCCGAATCCCAAAAAAGACTTGTAAATATATAGTGTCTGCGAGCTGTGCAGACACTTAAAATGCTGGAGAGCTGAATGTCCTATTGAGTACTTTGGTGGTAAGGGAAGAGGCGTGGAAGACGCTCGGGTCATTTCCCTGGATGTTCTATAACAAAAGGAGTTGAGCTGCACACTTAATGAAGAGGACTATATCTATACGAACAATGGTGAAATTCTGGTAAACTACCCAAAGCATATAGTACTGTAAAGGCCCTTATTTTCACGAGACTTTAATTTTCTCGAGCCCGTCGTAATCGCGAAAATTTAAGCCTCGCGAAATACTTTTTTTTTTCTGCCTCAAATAATAATAAAAACTCAGAAATTTTTCACTTACCCAAAATTCAATGATTTATTGCACATTTACAAGCTTTTCCTTGACAACTTTCTTTCTTATAACTATTTTTTGAATAATATACAACAAGATTTCTCGAATATAAAACAAAAAATTAATAGAAAGCAGCTCATTCACTTAGAATACTATTTATACCAGCTTCTTTGAAGCCATTCAAAATTATCTCATGTTTGGCTTCAATACCGTTAAATATGTACACGAGCCAAGAAGCGTGAATCGGTTTTAGTCGAGATATTCGCAAGTCCACAGATTCTTTTTCCTCTAGAAATTGAAGCTCATTAGAATACCACTCAATAAACTCATTCTTGAGCAAACGCTTAAACTCGCCATTTACAGTTAAGTCCAAAGGTAGGAGCTCTCATGTGCAGGAAGCGGGCACAAAAACTGGAATAATATTCCTCTTCTTTAGTTCAGTCAGAAAAAGAGGATCTTTTTCTGAGATGTTTTTCTGGAAAGAGGAACGTCTAGCAATTCAATCGAAATTTTCAACTTTCTCAACTCTACTTAGGTACTTTTGAAATTTTTCAACTTTCGGTTCTGCTCATATAAAATTCGCGAAATCACCGATATATTCATTTTCGCGAAAATTACGGCCCGATAAAATAAGGGCTATTACAGTATATGTCACAACATACATTTTGATCCATTATTAAACAATTGTCTCCATCAACATTCTATCTATCAGAACGATTGTTGCTGTTGTGACTTGCCTGAGAGTAATATCAGAATAAGCCCACGAAATTCATCGTGGCAAGGAATGCAGGATTGCGATTATCGTTTTCAATAGCCTTGAGCACCATACAGGCAGCAATAGATTTCCTCAGTTCTGTCTTCAATCTTGATGGAGAGCATCCCGAGGGGAACAGGTGCCAGGGTCTCCCCATATTTCGCTACCAGCAACCTCTCGAGACTTTCGGCTAGCCGAATATTTTAGAGTATCTCTATGCTGCACAGATATTTCACATTTACAAACATCAGTGCCTTCTCCGTGATTGGAACCCGACCCCTTTGGTACGGCAGTCAGCATCGCTAACAACTATCCCAGTTAAGCGGCCATTAGAACCATTGAATATCTTTAGCTCATTTCAGGATCGTGTCTCGCTTTCAGCAGATTTTACACCACTAGAGTATATTAAAGTGCTATGTCTTCTGAAACTGACCCGTCAAATATTCAAATATTTTATCGGCTTTCGCAAATATTTTCTTGGAAAAAGATTTGTGATGACGTAGAAAGAAGTTAGAAATTTTAATAATATAATGTTAAGTGAAACTTCAACAGTAAAATCTTTTACGTAGTTTAATTCTTGAGTGCCGAATTAAGGAGCAAGCGTTAAATGCATAGAGACCAAAAACAAAAAAGTAGCTAATCTGTGTTTAGTCGAATGATAGGATTTGAACTGTTGTAGAAGGCAAACAGTAGTACTAAAGTTAAATATGTTGCGTGTCGCCAAGATGTCAAATTCCAAGAATTTGCCTGATACAAAGAATAATCCGAACATTTGTCAAAGAATGTCTGGTACTGTTAGTTATATGTGCCTATGAAATATTCGAAAATACCCTTTGGCAGGGAACGAATATGCGGTAATGTAAGAAAGATAAATCTATGCAGCCCGAGGAGAATTACTTTGTACATTAAATCTATGTGTAATGACGAATAAATGCCCATCTTATATAGTTCTTGTAGAGTTCTTGTAGATACCACTGTAGAGATCATTATTTTGGCATAGGAAGAAGCTTTGCGCTCTCGAGAGGAATAGAAACAGGAGTCAACTATTTAGCTAGCTCGATGGTCTACTATTTACATTCAGTGACACGATGCGTTTAGGAAGAAGGGTTATTTTCTCGAAATGAAACGTACTTGTTTAGCCATGTTTAGCAGTGAAGAAGATAAATTAGTTTACACTGTTCATCACTTAGAGAAGAACTCTGGTCAGTTTTTGATGTAAAATAACGGTTTTTTACATATTTTAAGTTAAACCTGATTTCTGGAACAGAACTTTGCTTCGCATAAATTGAGTTGCCGTAGCATAATATTTTATACGCATGAGACTTTGCTTTTAGGAGTGAGTTAATGAGCGACACATAGATTATCTGCATATGTATACATATATCTTTATTTTTGCATTTAAATTTACAGGTTATTTTCGTGATAACATGGGCTCATATGATGGCATGTTCTACCTTCTAGGAGCATCGTCACTACTTGTTGGCCTTCTGTGGTTGCTGGAACCCCTGATCTGCGGAATGTCGACGTGAAAATTTTCAGACTGTTGATAGCAAAGCTACAATTTGTATTCGTGGCAATTCTGCAAAAATAAAAGAATAAAATTTATTTATATCCGATTTAAAATCTTTATTTCAAAATACAGTAAAGATACACTGTCTTTATTTTGAAATACTGTCTTAATTTGAAAAGCCAGACTAAATTAGATACAAGAACACGCCGAACAACTCGTCTGGTCTGGTCTGGTCTAGTCCGGTCCGGTCTGGTCCGATCCGATCCAGCCTAGCCTAGCCTAGTCTAGTCTAGTCTAGTCTAGTCTAGTCTATTCTAGTCTAGTCTAGTCTCATTAGTCACCCACAGAATCCTTCCTTGAAGCATCTTGCTATTTACAGTATTTAACGATCAAACATAAAACAATGTGTATGATAATCCAGTATTTCTGAGAATTTAAAACAAATTTTGGAATCTGATATTATTAGTAAATAAATGTTTAGAACATTTCCTCTCAAACGACCACTTTCAATAGTGACCAATATTTCTAAGTATGTAAATAAATATTGATATTAAGCATTATTTCTCTAGGACGACCATCTCTGTAGTAAACCAAAACTTCTGGAATCGTAGATAGTCGTCAAAGGAAATTCCTTTTTACTACGAAATTATCGCACGATGGCGTACACTGCAATTCAATAACAGTGTACGCCGTCGATTCAATAACAATAACAGTGTACGCGCTTTAATTAAAATAAATAAATAGAACTCTTTGCTTTTCTAATTTTGCCTATATTTATAGAAATGTGTAAACTGCAAGCAATTATAAAAGTAATTTAAACACTTTTTATGGGAAATATGTTATTTAGTAAATATTCTAGAAACTGCTAATGCATTGAAAATATATTTATCGTGCCTATTTTTTTTAAATGTCTAAACAATAGTTAAAATTAATAACGAAATCACTTCAAGAATAACCTGAGGATATGAAGAATTTGAATGAACAGCATTTAGAAACAACTCTTAGTAAAATACGTTAAATTAAATAATGTGCATGCTGTCAGATGTGGTAATATGTGACTTTATTTTGAAACGAAAAACCGCTCACGGCAATCATAATAACAGTAATAAAATGTATCTCGATTAGCAGTATTTAATACAGGATTTCGAAATCATAACTGTCACTAATTATGATCTCCAGCTCGTATATTTTGTGTTATTGGAGAATTTACAATTTGAGTTTAAAATAAAGAATAGTGCCACTTTCTGTTTGAGTAATTTGTTTAATGTTGTAGTATCACCATTCATTTGTTTTATAGTATGTGTATATCCATTTCATGTTGCTCATCTTCGGTAACATAAAGATTTCAAAACTGCAGTTTATATAATTATTAAATCTTAATAAATGATTTGTTTCTTTCGCAGTAAAAATTTTAAACTCACATGAGTAGTCAGTCGCTAAAACATGCGGACAATATTAAATAAACGAATGTTGGCAATAAATTATTTAATCAGGTGTCCAATTGCAACAACTCTAGTTTTATAGATATTTTATTTTATTTTGCATTAAGTTCTTTGTGTAAAAATGTTATTTTTCATCGATATCATTTTTAATTCAGCCTTTGGGTAGAATTATATTTATTTTCGTCTTCATTTCTTTCGATGAATGTTCGATAGAGTTTATGTCTGGAGAAAACGAAAAATTCATTCTTGCTATAACCGTTGACTGTATTTCGCAAGCCTGTCAATTTGAATGTCAGATATTGACAAACGAATTTCAAGCCAATTCACGACTCTACTACTTACTACGAAATGATCCGAGGATACTGGCGGCATCGCGATGACTGACATCATGACTTTTCTTTAAGTATCGCTATACAAATTCGTTATATGGAGTTATATTTCGAGATGATAAAGAATTTTACTCCTATGCTCACTTAAAGTGCATTGAAAGCACATTCAACAGCCATCGCTACATCTCTGAAGTATCAGAGCCTATTGTACTTCTTATATTCAAGGCTTGTCGACAACGCACAAGAAAATCAACAATTCTTCATCGCGCATTAAATCACATAAACACCAAGAGCATCCATTTCCCGGCTTGCTTCTTTGAGCTGCCTTAAGATGTTAATAGTTCTCCACACTCAAAGACTGTACGGAGGGGAGCCACACCCACCGATCAGCCCGAGCGGACTTCTCATATTCATAGCCACCATCCATCACCGAGGACTGAGCGGGGAGGCAGTCCCCCGTACAGCCCTTCATATCTACATGAGAGCGTCCCCACATCCAAGGCAACGGACACGACAGTACCAGTACGGTCCCTGCCAATCTCGCGCCCACAATTCAATTCTCGCGCCGTATAAACGATGGTTCTAGTCACCATGAAGACTGATTATTTACCCAAGGAACCGAAGCTGTCAGGACACAAGTCCAGCCAGTGATCTGGAAGAACCCCGGGTCTCCTTCCAAAAATGGTCGGTTCCGGAAATTTCTACCAGTCGATCCCAAGGGATGAGTTGTGCAGCATCATTAGTCTATGCCAGGCAAGACCGGAACCCCAACGGACTCCTCTCTTCACAAGCCCGTTTATCCCGGTATGTCGCCCACTGTAACGTCGTCAGCTATTTTCCCACGGACTCCCACGAAGTCTGGGAAAAGGAGACTTCAAATGGGCGCCAGATGACCACCCTGATGACACTTACGAATTCTTGAGGTCGAACGTGACCCCCAACAAAGTGCGGAAAGCATATTGTTTTTACGAAGGAGAAAACTTTCATACAAGTTCTCACGGGTTGTGGAGTGTCCATTGTGTGTATGCGATAGACTGTCGCCAACTGCCTGTTTCTCGAAATAATTTAGATAGACCTCCCAAAAAGACGTTATGAATTTTCCCAAGGAAAATTTCAGTTTCTCAGGCTGTCAAGACAGTATCTGAGAACAAATCAGCGCCTGTTAACCAATGGAGAGATGCTCCGAAAAAGACGTTTAGCTAATCACTGCAGCAGACGCACAAGACACGCCCAGAAAACCTGGACATAAAAACAGTGAGTGAAAATAATTAGAGAGGTTTTTTAGTCTGAAGTATTCGCAGTCGTTGCGTAGAGAAGAGAGAGCCTCTCTCTTGTATTTTACGGCTCTTCCCGAGTCGCTAGTAAGCTTTAGAGAGCCCCTTTCTCTCTTGTGTATTTTACGGCTCGTCCCGAGTCGCTACTAAGCTCTGTCAAGAGCGGAAAAAGAAACCCTCAAAGAAGCGTAGCCGGACTTTTTCTCCGCTACCTCTGTTTGAACTCAAGTGATTATCGTTTCCTATTGTAAACGAAAAACTTTGCTAAGCAAACTACTTTGTTATGATAAGCAGTTGAACTTACCTTAAAATTCAATTTGTGTAATTTAGCACATATCCTTCAGTTAAATAAATATTTTATTTACGCTACCCAAAATAAAAATCTGACTGTTCTCAAATCGCTACACCACTGAACGACTGACAACAGAGTTGTTCATATACGCAAAACATCATAAATTCAGGTAAGTCTTTGAAATGCGAGAAAGCACATGGACCCACACACTCCCAACATACATCCTATGTTTCGTTCTTTCCTTAATCAGACATGTGGAACTACTACCAGTCTCGACACCTACGCAAAACACTGATTTCTTCGTTCTCACAGGGGGGGGGGGTAAGGAGTTTTAATAATTTCCGAATTGTACTTTTTATTACTTTGTCATATGTGCGAGATGTCATCTTTCACGACCGATAGATGGCGCTGCAGGCTGGCTGATAGAATTGGTTTCATGAAGAAAGCACAGAGGAGGCCTCCGATGTAAACGTTATAAAGATGTAAGAGATTTTTTTATTTTTGTTTATTGTGATAATTTTCTTAAATATTCATGTTACTGTGGTCCAATCTCACAATCTGCAAAATGTTCAAATTAAATTGTCATTTGGATTAATTTATGTATTTCCTTAGACATTAAATTATTCAGCCATTTTATAAAGTGTGCTTACAGACCTCAAGGTAAAAGAAGTTATCCACTTAAATATTTTCGTCACACTTCTTGTTTCCCATGCTATTATATTTTGGATGATAATCCATAAAATTTCATCTTTCTATAGAACTATTTCAACTTAAAGTACACACGCGTCAAATCTGTTATTAATTTCAGAAGGTGCTCGTTTATTTTAGCGACACGTAACTTTTCACCCTCAAAAGTCAAGGCAGTCAACTGAATATCGTTTTGTATCCGAAATATGTTTCATCAACCTTTCATTAACCTGAAACATATGGACGGATGGAAAGATGCCATTCAAAATCAATCTTTCATTGAATAGACAATGCGTATATAGCAATAAATAACTTAATGCGGAAAAAATAAAACTGCCATTTCTTTTTTGTACTGCGCCTTCCTCTGCGGTAAAAATTCATTTTACTTGTACATGACCCCTTTTTTTTGGTGCAGTCGACACATCTGCTGAATGTCAAATTTCCTCATAATGACATAAGCAGCATTTGTACGAACAATGCACAACAACTTTACGAGCAATATGTAAATTTCTACACATGTGTTCTGTCAACAGCAGTCTTCTCACATTAAAGTTAATAATGAAACTGAATCCTGCCCTGTTTATTTAAACGTGTATCTGGCATATACGCATTGGCACAGCAGAAGAACAAATTTTCATTAACTCATGAAAGGCATTTTCCTTTCACTTTCTAGCTATTAGATGGAGTTCGTATAGTGTATGCAGCAGTATCTGTATTTGGTCGCATTCTGACAAAACCATTCAATACCTTTTAGTTCTTTTAGTTTTGGAACTTGAAATAAAGATCGAAATTATTTTCCTAGTAGTCATAATTACAAACAGGTAATAATAAACAACAGCGTAATGGACATTATAAAGGACGTTCTTTGTAGACTGTTGGTGTTGACAGGTAAGTATAAACTACATATCAAATTAAAAATTACTATTATAAATATATTAATGTTAATTTTAAATAATCTAACTCAAGCATTTCATTATTAGTACCATTCAAGATACTGAATTACAATTCTTGAGTCTGTGTAGTGATGCACCACTTGAATAATGTGTACTTGATAGATATGTTGTTGCTGTTACCAATCTCGTTTGCTTGACAAAGTACAGAAAAGCCCATGACAATCATTGTGGCAAGGAGTTAAATGCGCCTGTCGTTAGCATCAGTCTTGAACGCCATATAGGTGACAGAGCGACTTTAGCTCAGATCTGTCCCCAGTTTTAAGGAATCGCATCAAGGGGAACGTATCCAGGGGTCTCCAACCAGTCTACCCCTACCACAATCTCTCGAGAGAATTTTAGCTGGCCGCCTGTTGATTGTCCCCAGGCCGTATAGACACTATTTATTCACAAACATCGACGCCTTCTCCGACAATGATTAGCCGAATCGCTAATCACTATCCGGTTGAGCGGTAATCATGACATAAAGTAATAAATTGAACTTTTGTGTATTTAGTACTGAACTGCGAATTCAAAGTAATCTTTGGATAACAACGCTAATCCCAAGCTGCTTGTTCGTGTTGCTAAACGCATACTGATATCTGTCATTCTACTTCAAAACCCTCTGTCTAAAACTTTTACTCGTAACTAACGAATGAGAAACGTGGGATAACATGCCGTATGATATCGTGCTTTTCATAAAATCCATCGGGCAGTATCTGGAGTCAATGAGAGGTATAAAAATTAATAATATTAATTGACTATTAAAAAATCTGATTTGTACCACACACGACTTCCTTGTACGGAATATTAAATTATACGCATTTTTTTGAATTTAATTCAAACGTATTTTTTTTTATTTTATTAGAGCTATATTTCTCATTCAATTAATTCAGTTTTCGCTTTGCGGGAAGACAAAAATACATAAAGACTCAAGTAGTTTCATTAAAAATTGAATGATATAGAAAAACATAAAACACAATATAAAAAATTAAATTTTTAAAAATTTGATCAACAGTTTCTACGCAAAAACCAGCAATTATGCCAGCCAGCAAGAAAGCAGATTTTCTGGTGGGCAAAATTAAAAGTTTCCTTTTCGTCCCATTCAGCAAAAGGACACTGAAGATGAGAAAGACTTTTTCTGCCAAGATTCAAAAGGAAACAAATATGGCTACTACGGTAAAAAAAAAAAAAACAATTAGGCTTAGAACTCACTTAAACAACTTTTAAATTGTTGACAGTTCCATAACTATTTCATGCAGATTAACTAAAGGTATTAAACAATTTAAACGGAACATAAGAATAATATAATTAAATCTTTTTTAAACCCCAAAAAATTAATAAGTACAGACGCCACGAAAAATCTCATTTGAATCTATTTTAAATCAATTTTATAATTCATTTGGGGAAAAAGAGTCCTTTATTTTGTCCTTATGTAGAGATGTCACGCAAAAACATAGTTAAATTTCATTCGATAGCGGTCAAAATCAGTATTGTCGTTTAAATATGAAACATGAAATTTTTCGCAATTATATTACTTCCTTGACGTCTTACAAGGAAGTAAAAACTGATGTTCCTGAAAGAAAAACTTAAAGTTAGATATAATTTAATCTTCTACTGAAGTTGGTTCTAGAGGAAAAGCATCTATATGCATTTAGAAGAATGCTGCCTATTCTTCTGTTTAAAGGTAATGTTCTTCTGTTCAGTAAAATTGACCACAATATTCATGTTTAAAGACGTAATAAAGAAACGACAACAATTATTATTCTTCAATGTAATTTACATTGAAGTTAATAATATTTGAGAAAAAAAAATTAAGTATTCTAAATCGCATACCTCACAGTTATGAAACATGACATTATATGTGATTTGATTGTAATCGTTAAAGCGGTTTAAACTTATTTACAGAGTCTTTTGAAAATTCTTTCTTCAACCTTAATGAAATATTCCGATTTTTCTTCCTTCACAGTAATTGAAAAAATAATAATATAAGCCGTGTAATATGAGAAAGCAGATGCAAAGCGTCTGTGTGTGGAAAATCAGCGTCATCTATGGTTGTAATATGCTAATCAAAATATCTTAATTTGATTCAAAATTTCCTGTCTAATCAATCAACTTACATTCACTAATATTTAATCTGCTCTTTATAATTGAATATACATATTTTATAATTAGCCTAATTTTTAATTTTCATTCACTCTCTATAAAAATTGCTTCAATATTTCGAATAACAGTTTCATTTTGAGCAGGACAGAGGGTAATTAAAATTTAATAAATCATCATCTTTTCGTTAAAAATCTATTCGGAACGTCAGTTATCGAAGTAGACTACCGCTTATCCAGATAATAGGAAATTACAAATAACTATGCTATCTTTATAGCCGCCCAGACGAGAAAACAGTGACTCTTACTGCCGTAAGCGAAGGGCCTGGATTCGAATTATGGAGACTGATGTAATTTGTTTGTTTCTGCACAAAAGGTAGCGGTAGTCCACCTATACGGTACCTCCATAACAGAGACCACCGCTTCCAGCCTTAGTAATGGCAACCACCTATAAACGACTAGAGCGCGCCATTGGAAGAGAAAAAAGTTGCCTTTATTTCTTTTGTAAAAACACGTAATTATTGTAGAATAAGGTAGATTCACTCTTCTTTCATACAGTTTTGTTTTATAAAAGATTATGCATTTTAATATGCTTGAAATATTCAGTATTTTAAAGTAAGGAAACAACTAAATCGTTATCCTCAAAATCACACGCAAACACCCACGTCCCTGCAACGACAACACTAGCAATGTTACCTCTAATACTACCACTGATTAACCCAAAAGACACAAGAGAAAAAGCGATGATAAATAACAGCAATTTTTCTGTAGATTAAGACAAAAGCCCAAATCGGCCATTAGCCTCGAAACGCGATTTTGCATTGTTTCACTTTTCATTCGAGTCGGATGCTATCTGAGAAAATGTTACAAATTTATTTTTCAAATTTAATCTCCCTATTTCTGATGTACAATTTAAACCAATTAAAAGCAACAGATGCAGTTCTTAAAAATGTCATCTTTTTACTTTTTAGCTGATTAATTAAATCATGATATATCTAATTAAAAACACTAAAGATTTTTAAAGAAATATAGTATATATCTTTTCTTTTCATAATATTACATATCTTTATATATTATATTAAATATATTGTTTTACAAGAAAATAGCAAAGTTAAATTAAATTTAAATAATTCTCTTGCGCCATTGCTGCAAGGATTATACCTTTGTAACTGGAAAATTTTTGTGTTTTAAAGTGGTGCGATAATTAACTTACCCTCAACACAGCCAACGCGCACTACGCAGACAGCCTGGAATTTCTTTTAAACACACCCGGAAAAGTCAGGGAATTTCATTCTCCTGTTTGAGTGGCAACCTTGTAGGAAGTTGAGTTTCTGACAAATCGGTGTAAAATAAGATGTAAAAACAGTAGAGAGCGTCAAAATAATAGATTTTAGTTTTGAAGCACCTGAAGCCTGAAAACAGGTTACTGTAAAATATTCTCTTCATTTAAACTACTAGAAGACCAAAGAATATGATATCAAGATGTTCAGCGTGAGTAAATAATCGAAGCAAGAATTGACGAAATAAAGCATACCTGAAATTAATTCATTCCCCCAAATAGATGGAAAAGCACCTAAACATCATATGGTTTCGTGATGGCCGTTAGGATAAACATCATGAGGATTCGTGATGGCCGTTTAGATGCCCGCTGCCCGCATATTTTCCGTGAGGGTATCTTCCGCAGCCTGATGCAAAAGTAGCAAAATATATTATTATCCCCTACAAAAAATTTTCAAACCCTTTTCTTTTTATTTACAGGGCGTAGAATCAGACTGAATCTCGACACAAATTATTTTTATAGTTTAAAATTGATTTTGCTGAAATTGTTTTCTTTGAATCAGTGTGTATATTGTTGTCGATGAAATTTGCTGCGTTTGAATCCCTAAAATTGATTAAAATTTATTAAAAAACAGGTCCAAATCATATTTTTCTTCCGCTTTTAATTTACTACATAAAAACTCTTAGATTGACTCTCCGCATTATTATATTTGCATCCAATTAAACAATTGTAATGAATGATTTGCAGAAAGATCCAAAGCCAGAGGATGTGCCACTAATAAATTTTTACATCATATTTCTGTAAAATGGTGATGTTCCGGTTTGATTAGAAGCAAACTTTTCTCGCCTCAGAATGGCTACAGTGAGAACTTGACTTTCAATTTGTTATAACGCAGCTAGAACGCTGCTGATGAGATGTAACATTAGATTCGATTCTAGATTCTAGATTAGATTAATTTTAGTATTTTAATAAATCCTTTTAAAACTAGATTGAGTATTTGATCATAGAATTATAGCTGAACCACCGCTTGCAGAAATTTAGATGAGGCATTTAGCTACGTCATTAGATTCATAGTTGGATGCGTGGGCAGCGACATTCGGGATTCGAATAGTGTATATTAGTGCGTACATAAACAGGTGATATAAAAATTTATTGGTAGTAGTAGTTTGCCAGTGTAGCTATTGAAGCAGTAGTTTGTTATTTAAATATTGTTTACAACTACAATGCATTTCGTGTTGCACCAAAAATTCCTTACTGTGTTAGAAAATATTGATAAAACTAAAAATAATACCCTCTGAACAATTTACATCTACCATTAAAGAAAGTCTGACAGTTTAAAATACATTCAATGCTTGGGAGAGAAGGAACTGAAAAAAAAAACTTTGCATATATATATATATATATATATATATATATTCAACGAAGCGTCTCATGTATGTACCTCTCTAAGTCGAGAAATAGGCCATTTCCAAAAGCATGATTGAATAGTATACTGATAGAAATATTCCCAAGTTACCACTTCCAAAAAATCTTGAATCCTGAGGGTATCGTCTTAGGGGTATTTTATGGTGTATGAAAGCATTAAACCAATATATCTTTTGTAATTATTCAATGAATGAATTTTGATTTTCAGATTCCAGTAGAAATTTCTATATGCCAACCTCCACAAATCTTCGACTGTTGCCTTTTAACGCCTCTTCTGTATCCGATCTCTGTCTCACACCCTTATGTGTTAAAGAAGGTAAACACTTTCATTAGTTTTATACTAGACATTATTTCAAATATGTTATAATTGTCTTTGTTTCTTCTCAATAACATTGCTCATTTTTAGTAAAATTTCAAATGTAGCTTGTGTTTTTACTTCCTTACACCTACATGGCTATCTGACCTGCTGAAAGATTCCTATGGCACATGAGCATACATTGACATTCAGAAATACTTTAATGCAATGAAAATCTAATTTGTGAATGATATTTCTTGCATCTTTATTTTTTAGGATTCTGGAGAAAGAACAGAAAAATTTCTAAATCTTAACTTCGCTCATATCTTTCAGTTATAAATTAATAACATTCAATGCTAGATAAAGACAGATGGCTTTGCATATTCTTCTTGTAAGAGTACAGATAGTTTTCTCACAAGAGCAGATTTGCGTATTCTGCCGTTTCAGTCGTATCTGTTAAACCTATAAGGAAATATTGACATCATCATAAACAACAGATGTTGACTTCACAAAGCGATCTGTTGAGCTAATATAAAGAAATAAAAACATGAGGATTTAGGTTAGAAAGTTAGATAGAAGTTGAAAATTACGGTCAAAAGTGACATAAAATCATGCTCTCTCTCTATATATATTATATACGTATATATATATATATATATATATATATATATACACTGACTAACAATACGTATTTGGACACCTATGCAAATGACGATATCTGCGGTCCTGAGGTACGTCACGGACTCTGCCAGTATATAACGTGTAGGAAACAGCATCGGCTTTAGTCGCATGCAAGATGCCTCGCTCTCTGATTTCGAGAAAGGTATAATCCCTGATTTCGAGAAAGGATCGGCCACATCGGGTATCACAAATGTGGCCGATCCTTAAGGGACATATCTAGAGATCTGAAGTACCCAAAATCGATAGTGGCCTATGTGATTAAGAAGTGGAAGGTGAGCGGTGATTGTCGGAATGTGCCCCAAGTCGGCTGACCAATGAAACTGGGAAATAGAGACCGACGAGTGCTGTCCAGAGAAATTCAGAAGAACCGCACCCAACAGATAACCCTCATCCGCGAGGAGTTTCAACAGGCATTCAGGAGTATTGTTTCAATGAATACCATCTGTAAGGAAGAGCATCTGCTTGGTTTTCATGGTCGTGCTGCTGCCCATAAGCCTTTGATCACAAAGTCCAAGCGCTCTGCTCGGTTAAAGTAGTGCAAAGCACATCGAAATTGGACCGTAGATGAGTGGGAACTGGTCCTTTGGAGTTACGAATCAAAGTTCACCCTTTACCGTTCGGATGGCAGGGTCTGGGTCTGGCGTCTAGCTGGAGAACGTCTCCTGCCGGAATGCATTGTGCCAACAGTCAAGTTCGGCGGAGGTGGAATTATGGTCTGGGGGTGTTTCTCCTGGTAAGGGCTGGGACCCTTGGTCCCCATTCATGGTAAGCTCAACTCCGATGCCCACTGCACTGTTTTGGATGAAAACGTGCTTCCTACGTTGTGGTAGTTTTACGGGTTAGACCCCTGTTACTTTCAGGACGACAGTGCCAGTTGTCATGTTTCGACGTTAACCAAGGCTTGGTATGGTGCCAATGGAGTTAGTTCATCGAATGGACTGGTCTGCTCCAGACCTGAACCCTATCGAGAACCTCTGGGACGAGTTGCATCGCCGAATTCAGGGGTGCACTACCCGTGCAAAATCGGTGAAGGAACTTCTATGTCTTCTCCAAGCCGAGTGGAAGAAAATACCACTAGCTGCCATACAAAGACTTGTGGAAAGTATGCCCCGGAGGGTCCACGCTGTAATTACCTCTCGTGGAGGCTCTACCAACTATTTATTTTGAATAAAGTTAGTTTTTCTTTTCTATCACAGGTGTCCAAATACTTATTGGTACTCAGTGTATAAATGGCTCCGAAACATCTAGCTCCGATGAATCGGAAACAGAAGTATTAATAAATAAAAGAAGTGAAAATGATTTTTCAATGCAGCGCGATATTTTTGATAAGAAAATTAACCTTGACTCTTCTATACAGTGCGATTATGCTTGTAAAAATGTAACTACTGGAAATTATATAATTCAGAGTGTTAACATTAATTATTCTGATATCGAAATTACTATTACAAAGTTTAATGCAGAATCGACTGAAAATGTTGTTCGATAGGTAGAACATTTTGAGAATACTTGTATATTGTTTAATTTATCGTATTTACAAAAATTGTTTCTTCACCAAACGATTGCTTGGCGGGAATGCAGCTACATTTGTTCGAACAGAACCGGAACTCAATTCATGGCCGAAATTAAGGAAAGCCTTATTTGACGAATTTTCTTTTGAAATAAATTCTACTAATTTACATGAGCTATTAAGCCAAAGGAAAATGAAAAGTAATGAATCAGCTTAAGACTATTTCTTAAAATTGAAAGAATTATGTAATTTTGGGAAAATATATGACGCTGCTTTAATACATTATGTTATAAGTGGAATAAATGATAAGCACGAAAACAAAATTAGACTGTACGGGTGTAAAGACTTAATCGAATTTAAAGAAAAATTCAAAGTGTATGAAGTAATGAAAAGCGATTTTGCAAAATGTAAAGGCGCTTTCTATAAAATGAAAACGAAACATGATTTTAACGATAAAACTAACTCAAAAAACGCAAATATGACTAAACGTAAATTGAAAAATGATGCTAAATCTGATATGAAATATATTGAAAGTAGTAACAATAAAATTTGTTTTAATTGTGGTTTGAAAAATCATATTTCTAAAAATTGCATTCTTAAAAATAAGGGGAATAAATGGTTTAAATGTGAAGCTTTTGGTCATAAAGCTTCGGAATGTTCTAAACGAAATTCGAAAATAGCCACTTTAAATGTCAATTTTGTATCGAAATTGAACTAAATGATAATGATTGGTAATTTAAAGGTAAAATCATTAATAGACACTGGAAGTCAAGCAACATTGCTTAGAAAATCTCTTTATGATAAATTAAGTTTTGAAGAATCACGTCCTTCGAATTCTACTTTGATGGGATTTGGAAAATGACGAGCAGAATCATTAGGCTGTTTTAAAGAATATATTCAAATTCATGACTAAGTGTGATGTTGCCATTTGTGTAGTGGAAAATGATGTTATACCATGTGACGTCATCGTAGGATTTAATGTGTTAATGCAGGATGAAACTCTATTAAATGAAAATGGAGTTACGATTAGAAATAAATCTCAGTGCATAAAAGATATATATATACTTCTTTTATTCTTCTAGTGGATTTCATTTGTGACGGAACCAAAGTAAATATTGAATCTGATGTTCCAAATATTTTCAGAGATAAGGTACGACAATTAGTTTCGAGTTATATACCGTGTAAAACTAAAACAACAAACAAAGAAATGAACCTTTCGGTAAAAGATAATGAACCTATTTCATCAGCCTCGTAGGTTGCCGTTTTCAGAAAAAAGAATTGTTGAAACTCAAGTATCTGAATGGTTAGCACAAGGAATAGTAGAACCTAGTTCTTCAGAATATTGTAGCCGAGTTGTAATCATTAAAAAGAAAGATGGAACATCTCGTTTATATATTAATTATAGGAGATTGAATAAAGTAATTGTAAAGGACAGATTTTCCATTCCCATTGATTGAAGATATTTTAGGTCGGTTACAAGGATTACATGTGTTTAGTACGATTGATCTTAAAAATTGGTTTTTCCATGTGGATGTAAGCAAGGATAGCAGGAAGTATACATCATTTGTAACACACGAAGGTTAATATCAATTTCTCATAGTTCCTTTTGGTCTATGCAATGCTCCGGCTGTATTTCAGAGCTATATCAACACGATTTTTCGATCTTTAATTAATGATGGTATTGTTTTGCCATACATGGATGACGTAATAATCTGGAAGAAGGAATCGAACGGGTCTTAGAGCTTGCTAGCGAATACGAACTCGAGATTAATTTTAAGAAATCTCATTTTTGAAGAAGCGAATCGAATTCTTGTGGTCCTTAATTTTCCAGAATCGACTAATTTGAAACAAATTCATAGTTTTCTTGGACTCACCGGATATTTCAGGAAATTTATTCCAAAATATTCTATTATTGCTAAGCTTTTGAGTGATCCCTTGAGAAAAGATCGTAAATTTAAATTTAACGACGATGAAAGAAATTCTTTCAATCGCTTAAAGTCATTATTAGCTGAAAAGCCTATCTTAGTAATCTATAACCCCAATTATGGGACTGAATTGCACACTGACGCTAGCTTAGAGGGATATGAAGCAATTTCAATGTAGAGGTCTCCAAATGATAGTAGTTTCCGCTCCACCTATTTCATGAGTAAAAAGACCACAGACGCGGAAAAGAAATACTCTAGTTACGAGCTTGTAGCTCTAGTAGTCGTAGAAGCATTAAAGAAATTCCGTGTATACCTGTTGGGAATTCCTTTTAAAATTGTTACTGACTGTTCTGAATTTGAAAAGACTATGTCGAAACGTTACTTATCAACTCGTATTACTCGTTGGATTTTATTACTACAAGAATTTAATTATGTGATGGAGCATCGCTCTGGTGCTAGGATGGGTCATGTCTATGCCCTAAGGTAGATCCCCCATTAATATTCTTTGTGTTTCAGTAGATAACATCTTACCAAAGTTAAAATCGGCCCAGAATAAGGATAACGGATTAAAAGCGATTAAAGAATTACTTAAAATTTCTAGTTATGAAGATTACTGCGACAGAAATTGAGTTTTATTTAAATTTGTTAATGGTAAAGAATTAGTGGTTGTGCCTGAAAGTATGCAAATAGAAATAATAAGAAATGCTCATGAGAAAGCACATTCAGGAATCAAATATACTGAGAAAACATCAAGCAGTATTATTTTATCCCTAAAGACAGAAAGTAGAAAATATCATATCAAATTGTGTTCATTGTATTCTTATGAATTATAACAAAGGAAAGAAAGAAGGTCTCCTACATCCATTACAGAAAGAAAATGTGCCGTTAAAAACGTATCATTTAGATCACTCAGTACTTTTGGAGAGTACACATAAAAATTATAAGTACATTTTAGTGGTTATGGATGCATTGCTAAATTTGTATGAATTTATCTGACGGAGTCCACAACATCTGCTGAAGTCATAGCGAAGTTAGAGATACGAAAGGCAGTCTTTCCCAAATAATTTCGGATAGAGGTACAGCATTCACCTCCAGCGAATTTGCCGATTGCTGTTCTAAAGAGAACATTAAGCATCATCTGATAACTACCTGCTTGCCTAGAGCCAACGGTCAAGTCGAACGTATCAATAAGACTATCATTTCAGTTCTTTTAAAGTTACCTTTAGAAAATTCGCCTCAGTAGTACAAACTGCAGCACATACAAATGAACTGCAGCAGGCTATTAACTCGACGTACCAGAGAAGTATAGATACTACACCCTTTGAGTTGCTCTTTGGGACAAAAATGAATGCTAAAGGTATTAATCAGTTGATTGAAATGATCGAAGCTGAATTTCAAGCGAATTTTGAAGCTGAAAGAGAAGAACTTAAAAAACATGCAAAGCAACAGCTATTTAAAATTCAGGAAGAAAATAGGAAGACATTAAGACATTAATTTAAGGAGAAGAGAACCAAGACCTTACAAAGTCGACGATTTGGTAGCTATAAAAAGAATACATTTTGGTTCACATCTGAAATTAAAACCAAAATATCTTGGACCGTACAGAATAACTAAAGTTAAGGGAGGGAATACCTACGACGTAGTCAAAGAAGGAAGTCTCAAATGTCCCAAATGTACGACGACATGCGCCGAATTTCTAAAACCATGGAACAATTAATTGCTAGGACTAATACAGAGAGACGAAAATTAAAGGAAAAAAAAGAAGTAAATTATATATTTTTGTATAAAGGCGAAAACTTTAAAAAAAAAAAAAAAAAAAAAAAAAAAAAAAAAAAAAAAGTAGATGACGCTCTTAAGACGAAAGGAAAGACGCTTAACGACGAAAAGAAAGACGCCTGAAGAAGAACGAGAAGATGCCTAAAGACGAAGAAACTGCGGTTAAAGACGTTAACTACTCTTTCTATGGCAGATGAAGCTTGAAGACGATGTTTGCTAATTTTCTCATTCTTGAAACTGAAAGACGATCAGGACTCTAAAAATATTTAACTTTTATTTTTATTATCTTTCTTGTTTGGCTTTTGTCTTTTCTTTGTATTTGCAGTGTCGCCTGGAGGACCAGACGAGTGCAGGACGGCCGAATGTTGTAGTGCCAATGTTGAATACCAGATGGCGTACAGTTGCTCATCGTATAATTCTTTTAATGTTCTATTTTTTCGTTTTGTAAGTTGGACTCAAGATGCAGGAAAAAAATGATGACAATAAAGACTCAAATAAAAATGTATTGAAGAAGTTAATTCAGTTTATAACTAACATATTTGTTAAAAATGTAAATACTTTAAATGTAATTAAATGTGCTGTCCTTTCAAATAGTTTCTTAGATGCCTTTTTCAAGAAAGTATTACCATATATATATATATAAAAAGTGAAATGTTCTCTTACAGATTTAAATCTTGCTATTGACCTGCCAGAGAACAAAGATCTTTTACTGTCTTCGCTCAATGCATCCGAGACATGTAAGACACCGTTATGCGTAAAAGCAGGTAAGAAATGTTTTATTCTTCATATGTACAATTCTGTTAAAATACATTAACTTTTTTTATTTTATCGTGATCAGAAACATGTTATCCTAAGATCGTACTGCAGTTGACAAGAAAATGTAACTTCAATTGTTACCTGTCGATGCCAACTTAAATTGCCCATTGCTAGGTTATGCTAATTGATTTGGGAGGCGCTGGAGAGATTTGCCTTGCCATTAACTACAATGTTAGTGTAAAACTTCGCGAATTATTGCATTCTTTTTTAATGTAATTTTATCCATCTGGATATAGGTGCAGAAAGGAAAAAATGCCAAGTTCAGCGTCACTGACAATATTCAAATAAGCACAGAAACACTTTTTATGAAATTTCATCTCAAACGCACAATGAAATTTCCTTAAAAGTGTTTATGTTATGATTCATTTAAATATCCCTTCCTATTGCTATTGGTAATGTAAATAATAAAGAAAACTAATAAAAATAATTTTTTTAAAATTCTTATTTTGTCTTTTAAGTAATATTTTATACAGTCTCTGGATTGAAATTTGTTTCAAATCTCTAAAAGGATTTTCAGTATGTTTTCAATTTTACTAGATACATCTCAGCTATTTATTTTCGTAACTTCAATATTTTTAGACGGTGCTTAAGATGTGAGATGTGATACTAGAATTTTTTGAAATTTTACAAATCATAAAATAGATTTTTCTCTCTCTTTTAATAAAGATAATAAAATATGAAGGAAAATGAAGAGATTTTATTGCAGTTCCACATTTCAAATCATGTTCTCTGTTCGAGCTTTGTTTTTGAATCGATCATAAAACTCCACTTGGAAAAATAACCTCTTCATTGGTGAGCTGAGGAAAAGAAGTTTTACTTCGCTAAGTAATATCAATTTAGAGAACAATTTATTAATCACTCACACACATTTACACAAATACGCACCCAAATGCATCAATATGAGCTTTGCCTTCATTAACTGTTTATGTAAATTTTGCATGCCTTTACCAGACTTGCCTACAGTATGTGTAAATAACCACAGGCCTACAGTCTCTGTAATCAATGCAGTCAAAGGAATATTTACTGCTCATGGACAAGTTGAATGAAGACAAGTGCAAAAAATTGTTAATTTAATTTCGTTGCAAATGTTTTAATTTTTGCAGTAGTTCGGAAATAAAACTGGATACTAAAAAATAGTGATGATCACCTGATCAATTAATTACTTTCTGGTGAGTTATTGAAACTTCAACTTTCCTTAGAGGATTCCGATTTAAAAAAGGGATTTTTTTTTTATATGAAATGAGAAAATGCATTAATTGTATTAATCAATATACTGATAAAATTTAGGATAAAATGTGCTAACTCTGGAAAAATTAAGTGATGATATCGTTGCGACGGCCGTATATTTGTGGTGATTTATGGCTCGCAGCTATGCTTTCGCCTGTTGTAGCAGAGGCGTGCTCGTAGCAACATCTGTAGGTAGAATCAGAAGTGTGATTGAAGAAGTCGCTTGGTCTCGGGCACAGAACCTGAGGCCGTGGCATGGAATAGAAATCCTCTACTGCTAGGGTAAAAGATCTCTTGCGCGCTAGATTCAAGAATTCAGACTTTCTTAAATTTGCTATGGTTCAGTAGCTCCGGGGATGCCGTATGATGTATAAAAGTGGGTTAAATACGCACTTAATAAGAGCAGTTCCTGTGAAGCTTGTAAAACAATAAATGTATTTGTAAAATGTAAAAGAAGTAAAAAATTGGGAGGAATAACTAATATCCACAATGTGCGATTTTTTTTTAAATTGAACCCACGAAAAAAATATTTTGCGGCATTATACAATTTTAGTCCAGGAATCCAGCCTCGATAAAAAAATAAAAAAAAAAACATTTTAACGTGCAGAGTTTACTAGATTGACTTCATTTAAAATTGCAGGTATATGCACCAAGCAACCAAATTCGAACCTCATTTTATCGCATAATTGTGGAATATATATGTATAATTGTGACGTATAATCATGTTTACATTCGTATAAAAAATTATTTTGTCTTTTATCTGAAAATATATTCTGAAGATAATTCGCAATGATAACAGTCGCATTTCAGATCCTGAAAATAAGTTATTTTTCCTGCTCCATTTGAGTTAGGTATTGACGATAGCTATAATTTAGTTACCAAAACTAATGTTGATTTTCATAGTGTCATGTCGCATTCCTTTAATGGGCTGTAGTAATTGTTTTACTCAAAATGTGAGCGATGAAGAAATCAGCGTTAGTGAAATCAGCGTTAGCGAGCAGCGTTAGTGAAAATCTATACGCTCATCATACAATAACGGTAAAAAATTATAAACCAGAAAGTAATTAGTTTACACATAATATTTTTATTCCTCTAATGTCTTTTTATATTTCATTTGCTGTTGACTAATACTCACTTATCTGGTCTATAATGAGCCCAAGCTCACCAAATTCCTCGTGACAAGGAACGCAAGATACGCCTGTCGTTGGCAATAGCTTTATACATTTACACAATAGCACTATACATTTATAAACATTCATGCCTTCTACGGGATTCGAACCCGGGCCCTTCGGCACGGCAGTCAGCGCTAATCACTAAACCGGTTGGAGCGTATATTTCTTTAACATACGTATTTTGCATTAAATTTACAACATATTACATTTTTATCCGAAGATTTTATGCACTTTCTAGCAATTGTATACGCCTCACCTTCACAAGCCTGATAATTAATTTCAAATGAAAACTCAAATCATGTTATGTTTTCGGGAATGTACGAATTTTGAATACAGATATTTTCCCACAGTACCTAATAATTATTTTGAATGTATTGCATTATTTTATCGCGGAAAATCATTAGATATTATATGTTATCATATTCGATGACTAAATATTGTATGTTGTTTTCATTTTGTAGTAGTTAAAACTAATAGTCTTAACGACATTTTTCGAATCAACGTGCAATCATTTTGGCTTATCTTTGCTTTTTGAAAAAGTGTAATGCGTAATAAATTTCTTTACATTTTGGTTCTCCTTATTTATTTCCTTTTTTCTTTCTTTCTTCCTTTTTTTTTTTCCTTTTCTTGTGTTGACTGCAAATAAATCTTTAGACAGTGGGAAAACTAAGGCTATTTCTTCGTGTGACATATTACTCTTAATTATAGCTCTGTGCTTTTGATTGTGGGTCTCTATCATTAACTATGGCATTGTCACTGATCGATGGTTAAGAATATAAGACTGCTGAACATTATATGCGTTTTATTATTGCTGATTCGGATTCGAATCCAGGTAAATGGGCTGATGGTATGGTTAGCTTTCTTTCTATGTATAATGAAAATGCGAGTCTAATTTTCTAGGGAAAAAAAAAAAAAAAAAAAAAAAAAAAAAAAAAAAAATCTCGAAGTCATTTTTACATTCTACATTCAAACAAATGGACATCAATTATTTGCTACATGTAATAACCTCGTATTTGATATCGTTCATTGCTGATATTGCTTCTTCTGGAATTTTTCCAGTTCTTGACATCTTGTTCATTCTAAATGTAGTACTTACTGAATCACAAAAAAAAAAAAAAAAAAAAAAAAAAAAAAAAAGAACTCTACATCAAGAATGGAATTTGCATTCAAAGCGGCAAAATATCAATGACTTGAAGTAAATTTAATATTAGGGAAAAAATTATTCGAACCCATATACCTTTGTATAATTTTTTTTTCTTTCGACTACGTAAAATTTCAAATAAAACAAATAAAGAATATATATGGTAACTTTCATTTCCTTTCCTAAATCGCTATAAAACATCAAAACACGAGATGCAAATACAAATGTCTTGCTGCCATCCTATTTGAGGATTTAAAATTCCAAGAAATAGGTTACCTAAGTAAGCTTTCTTAAATTTTATCTTTTCTTCCAGCCGTTGTGTACATAAAAGAAAAATGTTTTTAAATGCGTGTAAAGTAGAGCTAGTGGTAAATATAATTTTCTAGCAACATCACATCGCGCAAAATCTTTTACATTTTCTTCAATTAAAACAGCGATAACTAGAAACGTTCAAATATTCTTCCATAATATTCTTCAACATCAAGTTAAGCTTTTCAGTTTCATGTCTACTGACGCCAATCTAAACACAACAGTTCAATACCTTCCGCCTAAATTTTATTAGACTAAACTCCTCTCTTCTACCCGCCTGCATTCCTGCTACACGGCATCCGACATTTTGACAACACACGTACGTTGGCCCACCAGCGGCTGAGCTGTAAAATCGCTGAACACTGGTAACCCGGTCCAAGGTTCGAAACCCGCGAACGAATGGGTTCTCTGCCTGGGCGTTTTTGTGGTTTTCCTCATGTGTAACGTGTATACGAGCCAGTTTCCTTAGAAAATCTTCTATGAAGGAATCCTTTCCCTTAGGTAGATGACCCTCGAGGCTTTCCCGTAGCGACTTAAAACCAAACCATCCCTATCTTATTTCTTAAATACTAAAAGACACACCAACGAACAATTTGCCTCCAACTTGTTCATAATAGTCCCTCTGCGCATGAGAACAAAACATTATCATCGCCATCTTATGGACAATAAAATCAATTATAATTAATACATTAATACTTGTGTACACATAAATATTTACACTAAATCAATTTACGAGCAAAAGCAGCAGTTGCTCAACTAGCACAATTTGCAGCAGAATTTGGTGCTGACCTGATAATGGCTCAGGAACCTTACACGCGAGACGGAATTGCAGTGGGATTTCCATTGCAATGGACAATTTATCAACAAGGAAATGTAGAATATCCTCCTAGGGCCATTATTATTAACTGCAACAAAAAATGGTCTCCGGCTATCGTAGCAATTGAACGCGATAATGTTGCAATCATTATAGAAGCACAAGAAGCATCTTTACTGTTTATCTCACAATACTCTCCTCCTTCTGCAGATATTTTGGCTACTACACAGTTTCTTACAGATACCCTGCAAAAGATTAAAATTCCTCTTAAAATAATTACAGGCGATTATAATGCCCACAACACGGTTTGGGGGTATGCTTCTACGAATGACAAAGGAAGCCTTCTGGAGGATTTTCTGTCTGCTAATCATCTTGTTTTACATAACACAGCAGACGCGCCCTCCGACATATGACAGAATCTACGCACAAGGCTGGCCTGATTTGACGGTCAGTTCAGCCTCAGCTGCGCCATTAATACAAAATTGGAGGGTTAATGATGAAATTAGCTTAAGCGACCATCGTTACATTACTTTCTCAATAGAGCAACCGACGACAATTAATATTATTCGTCGTTACAACCTACCTGGTAGGCGTAAACGTGCTTTTACTACTAGAGTCAAGAATTTGATTGAAGGTATTGAACAACAGCTAACTCAAGCGAACTCTAGAGACGAATTGGAGAATTTCACAGTGACTCTACAAAAGTGTATACAGCAAGCGTGTGATGACATATTGCCACAGCGTAGTACTAAAAAACTGACTACGATCAATTGGTGGAGTAGTGAACTTCGTATTCAGCAGAGGCAATGTCGCGTAATTATTCGAGCGTCCAGCTAATCCCAATTTAAAGGCAGCAAGAGCGAAGTACAAACGTTCCAATTTTGCAGGCTAAAAAATTCATGGCATGCTTTTTGTAAGCTAAAACAAATTTCATCAAGTAAAAATCATTTCATCTTTTGGTAAGAATCATGATTGAGGATGCTTTTTGGCCAAGGAAACACATCCCTACAATAAATGTTACTCAGGAACACAAGGGAAACATAAAAAAGATACAGGGGAAATTAATACAGGGATCGTGACCCACCAGTCAGGATGACCCAACCGAAGATTCTAAAGCAACAAGAAGATATACGTGCAGAACAGATGATACCAAACGTGCCCACGGGATAACCGGATAGGGAAAGATTACATTGAAAGAACTAATATTAGCGCATTTGCCAAAGAAAAAGGCCCCTGGCCCTGATGGCATTGATTATGCAATCGTTAAAACAGTCGTTTTGGCCAAGCCAACAATCTTTGTTAGCTTTTTCAATAAATTACTAGCTACGGGTACATTCCCGAAATCGTTTAAAATCGGACAAGTGGTGTTGTTTTTGAAAAAAAGATCGCAATCAACGGAACCCACATCTTTCCGACCAATCTGTTTACTTCCGGCTCTTGGTAAACTGTTTGAAAAACTCCTTATGACCAGACTACGCTATTATCTACACGTTAATAATATCCTCAGTCCCAGGCAATATGGATTTAGGCCAGGAACTTCCACTTTACACGCTTTGCATGATATCAAAGAGGCTATCATGGACAACAAATATCACGGTCTCCATACAGCACTCATCAGCTTAGACCTGAAGAGTGCATTTGACAACTTATGGTGGCCAGCGATCTTGCAGGCTCTAAGAAGTTCTGGCTGCCCAAGCAATATCTTTAATACTATAAATCATTATCTACAGGATCGAAGAATAATGATTATACATTCAGCGGGAATTATTGAAAAGTCACAGACGAGAGGATGCCCGCAGGGTTCCTGCGCGGGTCCTCAACTCTGGAATTTAACCTTCAATAAGCTACTCAATGCTTCCTGGCCTGCGCAAATGAACATTTTTGCCTATGCCGATGACGCGGCCTTGGTTGTCAAGGGACATTCTCGTGAAGAATTGCAAAAGAACTGCAATGAGGCCTGTCAAATTTTCCAGGGAAATTGTGACGAACTGAAATTAGTCATAGCAGAAAATAAGTGTCAAATTTTACTGGTGCCTAAGAAGGGAGGCTCTTTGGCAAGGAGACCGCGTATTGTACTCAATGGTCAGAGGCTCAAAATTGTAAAAGATTTAAAATATCTTGGTGTTACCTTTGATGAAAAACTTACGTGGATTCCTCATGTTCTCTCTATTAAAAAGCGTACCCTACCCTGGCCATCACCCAAACAACTAAGACAATTTTATGGATACAAGTGGGGTTTGAACCACCACATTCAAAAGATCTGATACACAACGGTTGTAGAAAAGTTAGTAACTTATTATGCTGCAGCAATTTGGGCTCTTCCCTATGCAGAGGAGAAAAATCAAGCATCTCTCTACTATTCAGCGCCCTTTTGCCTTAGGCATGACTCGGGCATATGTTACTACTTCCACTGATGCAATAAATGTCTTGGCTGGTTTGCTCCCACTGGATATTAGAACTGAGGAGGAAGCAGCACGACAAATGTTAATACAGCTACACAAGCCAATAGCATTTGCTGAAGAAAATTTTACTTCGGAGGAATATGAAACCAAACTAACATCTGACAGCATTCACCACTTCAGTCCTCTTGAAGTCAAAATCTTGCTGTAATGAGCAGTTATAGATCTCGAAATAAAACTATTTATTTAATTTAATTTTTATTGTACGACGTGGTCCCCTTCTTACTAACATTCTAAAGTTTCTGAATTGTTTCCAGATAACACAGTTTTAAAAATTTCAGTTACAAATAATTTAGTACCTTACCTTTAAATTCCATATATTTTGCAAGCTCCAACAGTTTTTTTAATGATGAATCGAGGACATGAAAACTGCTAAGTCGTTTAACAGGTAAAATTTAGAAGCATGCTTTCTTCAACTTAATTAATGCTTAAATGAAACGCATTGAATCTCTTTGAAGTTACGTAAAACGTTACTCTTTTCATTTATGAAAATGTGTGCTAAGAATAGTTTTAAAAATATTTTAAATAGTCATTTCAATGAAAAAATAATACGTACACTCGGGAATGCGCTTTGAAGTCATTCAAATTTTACATAGCGTTCATGAGTAATGCGAATTGTAATACTTTAATCTATATCCGTAAAAAAGAATATCTGTGTGTTCGCGATTAACTCAGTTCACTACTATAGCTATCGTCACCACATTTTCTACAGTTCTTTTCTAGGTCCTAGGAAAGGTTGACGTCAATATGTTTTCAAAAAAAAAAGAAAAAGAAAAATAGCTAAAAATCAGAGATATTAATTAAAAACTCTGATAACTCTAATTTTCGCTTTCATTTTTCCGACTGATAAAAGTCGCATACGCTGGAGATAAAAATTTGCTTTATTTCGAGAAATGTTGCCATTGCTCGCTTTCAAATCTTGGAATTTGTTAATAAAAAATTTCTAAATTTTACAATGGAAATAAAAGTAGCATTACCGAACATCAAATACATTATTCCCGATTCCAAAATTTCGTGGGAAGCCAATTTTACTGTTCGCGTCTTCGTACGACTTTAATCAGCCTATGATTAACTATGATCAATATTTTGCCGCATGTAATCGACTAAAATTGAATATAGGTGAAATATTGGATGAAACTTGAGCTTTTATGACCATTTGATGAGAAAGACGAAAATCATTTAAAACTGCGTGCCATTGTTGCTGATATAATGAGAGACAATTGCTTTATTTTTCTATCTAAAGTTTTCATTAAAGTTCCATATCGTATCAGAGTGAAAAATGTCTGACTCTGAATCGTATTTTTGCATCGCTATTAGAGAAGGATTACAGCGGTATCGTTCTCTCTGTTGTTAGATGCATTATTCTTAATCTAACTTGACTGATTTTAAATATGTAAATATGTATCATTAAATGTGTTGAAATTTCATTGAATAAAATTTCTGTAATATGTAAGTTTCTCCTCTAGGCATTATACTTGTTGAAATTATTCCCGTTTCCCTGTCCTTAAAATCAAATTCACTCTAATTTCGTAATTTGAAATAACAGTTAATAAACAAGGACTGAAATTATCCTTATGTAATTAATGAATTTTCTTTTCCTTTACAGCTGCCGACATCCTATCATTTATAGATGAGACTGTGGATCCTTGTGATGATTTCTACAAATTCTCCTGCGGTAGTTGGATAAAGAGACAGGACACTGATGGCCAAAATGCTGTTAAAAGTCTTGGTAACGTAACAAAGCACATAATGAGAGGTAAGGAAGACTTCACATTTTATCAAGTAAGCTCATTGCAAGAGAGACTGATAACCTTGAGAAATAGAAACTTATAAAAATGTGAACCATCTTTATTGTTTTCTCAGAACATGGAACTTGTTCCGCTTCTTCTGATGCGATATTAATTATAAATCATGAACGTTATATTAAGTTTACAGGTAAATGGAACGATTGTAAATGCATACAAACTTTTCATACGTCAAGGAGGTAATGGGACTATTCGCCGTGGCCATTTCATCGCCGAGACATATTTTTCTTTACATCTGTTATATTTCACCTTATTATATTAAGTTGAGCTAGTTTAATAACTTTATTTACTATTGTATATATAAGAGATATTTTTCTTTATAGTACTATTTTATACCTTGTCATATCATATTAGGTTTATTTAAATTACTAATTTTGCTTACACATTGCTGTCTTAAATTTTAAAAGAAAAATAACCTTTTGCCATAAAAGACATATTTTGGAATTACTAAAATATTACCTAGAATTAATAATTTTTTCTCCGAAACAGAATTTATTTGGAAGGGTTTTCTCAATGTGATAATTAAGTGTATTGTGTGCATATAATAGTTTAACAATAAAAACATTGTGAATTTTCCACTTGCATGAGTGATATCTCTGAAGTACCTGATTAAAAGTTGAAGAAATTTTAACGAATCATGTAAATATTGTACCTGCATAATTTTAAAATCGTAATATAACTTCAGTTATATCAGAAGTTTAGTCCCAGTTCTCTTTAATACTGATATAATTTTCTAACTATCTATGAATACTATATTTATATATCATATTTGTAAACAATATATAATTTTTTGAGGGCGAAACGGCCATGGTAAAATGGCGACGGCGAAAAGTCCTAGACCCTGTCAGGGATGGAAACACTATGGCATGCAATGCCACTAGACGCCACCAAAATATCTGTCGCGTGCCAATCAAGGACGGCACAACCATGACATACGTACCACTAGGTGCCGCCAAAATATCGCGTGCCACTATATTTTGGTGGAACGCCACAGGTACACATTAAATTACTTTTATTCACTGAAAACAATATTAAAAGAAACCGTCTCAAAGACTAGCGGCCATCAAAGGTGGATTCAGAGACGAGCACGAGCATGGGTGCCATTACGACATTTTCAAGGACAGAGAAGTGATCTTAGGGAAGGCTGATATTTTCTTGAAGAAAAACGTGACTGGGATGAGTTAAAACGAAAAATCACAAACTCGGTTTCGGTTTTGTTATCTTATATTTGAATATGAAAGTAATAAGCAACAAACTTGACGCTTCGAATTACTTTTGCGAATCAGAGCACCTATGAACACTATCATCTCCTTTATTGATTCAGACAGAGCTTCTGTAATACCATGCAAAAGCTGAATTTAAAAAAGAATATCGCATAAAACCTTAGAGCAGCAGTTCTCATACTGTGCCAAAGAGACAGAGAATAATTTTGAAAATTAAACATTTTTATACTGATTCGATGCTCTGCGTCAGTGTGACAAAAAGTTCGGGAGTTTGAAACTGCTGGTTCTTTAAAGGATTATTGATGTCAAAATATTATTGAATATCATTTCTGGTTATTGAAATCGAAACAGAGATTATAAGATGATTTAATGATTTTGATGATGTCGCACTTTGGGCACCTTAAAATATTAAACCGCAATTAAGCTGGCACACTAATGGAGAAATGTTCGTCATCCCTGCCATACATGAATATTCACACCAGTTATATCATTCTAGTCTAACAATTCGTATTTGTACAATCATAGTGGTACAACTCAGCAGCAGCAAAAGCGAGTTACAATAGCGATCTGCTACACTCTTATGTTGTTCAAGGTTTCAAAAACAGCAATCGGAATGCGACAATCTCTCATAATTTATCTTTAATTTGATTATACATCTGAACATGATTCAATGTATGCGAAAGAGCATTCTGCGGGGACAAAAATTAAGAAAAAAAAAAAAAAATGAAAAGGACAAAAATCGAAAATGTATTCGCTAGGAGGCTACTATGATTAAATATAGAAAAAAGTGACATATTAAATAAACGAAACAAACAATACATAATCACAAGTTTTTTTTTTTTTTTTTTTTTTTTTTTTTTTTTTTAAATTATGATCTGTTGCAAACATTATAAATGAAATATTTCTTCACCCAGTATGTAAGTTTTACACAAAACAGAATGTTGTACTATTTGCACAGCTGGACGAAAGGTAACTCACATATGGTTGTATAAAATTTGTTAATTGTTATTGATTCGACTAGAGGGAACAATAATTTGAGGGTTTAATTAGTCAAGCAAAATCGCAATGATTTTTTTCATGTAGAAAATCATGAAACAGATATACAACGAGCCATTTCGCTGAGGCTGAACTACCAGTTTCATCAATCTCAGTCACTCAGTAACTTATAATCAAGTATGTAAAAGGATTAATGTATGCATCCTATCACTGATAATTATTGTCATTTTAGTCGACTCAGCTTAGAAGAGGAAGGTAAACCCTTTTAAAACGCAAGTTGTGTAAGATACATTCGTCGCCTGTTTTTGAGAGTGAATGGCGCATTGTGATGTGATTTGAACCAGTACTTGCAGTGTCCTGTCAGTTACACATCGCGTATGATAGATATGTTATGGAAAGCAATGAGGAAAATTGAGGCAACCTTTTATAGTATGAGACTAATCGCTCGCAAAAACTATCTATTATCAACAAATACCGGCAACTCAAGTTCGCAATAATTTTTTCCAGTCAGAATGGAAACTGATGTGTCACGATCGCGGAATATTCTACACAACGGAAACATTTATATATATCACAGTATTATTTGTCGCATTTAAGTGAAAAAAATCATTGCGCTTATTAGGAAATAGTTCTGCGTTCGTCTCAAATAGCAATATGGTGTAGTTACAATAAACATTTATATTGTCGGACCTTTCTTCTTTATGAAATTGCTGTTAATGTGACCTTTCATTTTTATGCGACGAATAGTCGTAGAATCGAAATATGGAAAAAAATTGGAATGTTACTTCAGAGAAAGTCCTATTTTATGTCAAAATACCCGTGTTAAAATTTAAAAAAGGCGCGCTTTCGAGGCTTGGAAAACGCTAGCTAAATTTCGTCAATCGTCCAGTAGAACAAGAGATGTACCTGTAGAAGAGTTCCCTTTTTTTTTTTTTTTTTTTTTTTTTTTGTGTGTGTGTGTGTGTGTGTGTGCAATGTGTCCATCACCAGAAAATCAGGCAGATTCGAAATGAAGGCCAAATTAATCAGATTTTTTATGTCTTTCTGAAGTGTTGTTTCCTTGATTGATAACGTATGGTACACTGTAATGAATGGACGTTTGCAAAACAGATCCTGTTCCGTTTGTTTGCAGAGATCGAAGTGATGTTTTATCTCATTTCCTTAAAATGTTATAATAAATGTTTAAAATATTTCTGCTTTATTTACATAAAAAATTCGTCTTTTTAATTTTACTACTAAACGCATGTAGCGGAATTCTTTTAAGTAATCTTGTTTTCGTATACAATACATTTCTTCCTCCTTTTCTTAGCATATGAATGAATTTCAGGGTTTATTCTCTTCCAGATTACAGCTAGATAGTGCTTTCGAAAGGTCTAATTTAACTACGACCATAATATAAATTAAATAAGCTGTAAGTGTATCTAAATTTTATAACAGTTATTTATAATTTTGGGACTCTTTCCTGTCAATTCTTGTTTTCCACGTTTTTTAGAATGGCGTTGAATGAACGTGAGTTAGAAGCAGTTTTAAAGGGAAGTTCAACCTACTTCAAGAGAGAGTGTTTAGGAGTCCTTTAGTGGCGCGTGTTTGCCGTCTGGCTAATTTGTTCTTGATTCCACTACGTTCGACCTATTGTATGTGCCTGTTGAGAATCGCCAGCTATGTTAATTTAAGGGCCAACTACTTTAAGTATTTGTGTCTAGCTTTGGGGAAGTTTGTTTAGTTTAGTGTTAGGTTTAGTTTCTTATTTTCTTTTCTTGATTTAAAAGCCCGAGTGGAGGCTTTCCTGTAAGCCCGAGAAGGGACTGTCTGTTATTATTTCTTTGATTGAATAAAAGGGTATTTTTATCCTTAAAGTCTCTATAGCAACTACGTGAAATCAACAATAATTCGCTACTTAGTTTGTAGAGACATTATAAATTTTTTGGAAGCAGGTAAGATGAAAAATGAGCAATCGCCTTCGCCGGGAATCGAACCACGGACCTCTGGATACCGGCCCAGCTTGCAGAACCACTAAACCACGAAGGCACGCTAAGAAAGCGAGAGAAATGCCTTATATACTTCCCTTTTTAAAGAGCGACTGGGGTATTTAGGGGCCCCAACCGCCAAATCCTGGGTGTGGAGAATCCTCATTCAACATCCTTTTAGTTCGGGCGCCACTGTTTAGTTCGTTCTGCCACTAGAGACATTAGGATTTTTTGGAAGGAAGAGAGATAAAAAATTAGCAACCGCCTTCGCCGGGAATCGAACCACGGACCTCTGGAATACCGGCTCAGCGTGCAGAACCACTACACCACGAAGGCACGCTAAGAAAGTGGGAGAAATACCTTATAAGTTCACAAGGTTCCTCGCATTACATCTAGACAAACCAATACAGAACATTATAAACACTAAAGTCGGAATGTTGACAGGTCTTTGAGATCTCAACACTGAATTTTATTACCGTGATAATGCACCTTCACAATATATTAAAATATAGCTATTATGTTGAAAACTGGACTTATTAAGAAACTTATTTAAGTCTTGCGGGCCTTCTACCATTTTCATGAAGTCCTCTTATAAGCAGTAAATATATTGTTACGAATTTTGTATTCTTATAGCTAATTTTAGTAGAAATTATAATTAAAATTGTTGTATTTCTCCCTGCAATGCAGCTCGAGACAAATTTTAAGAGAAATGTATACCGGAAAAGTAAGAATACAGGAACACGTGCATTTAACTTTAAATAAATGCGTATCTCTTTAATTTATATTTAAGTTTAATAAATGTAATCGTCTAATGTGTTAGCTGTAACTGTAATTCTATTCTTTTGCTTTCCGGAAATCTCCAGAAGCAGAAATTTTACTAGAAATTTCTCACGACCGATTTAAAGCTATAAAAAGAACATCTCAGCTCAGTTGGTTTAGTTAGCTGTTATTGTTATTGCAATTTCAGAATGAAATCGGATTAGCTTTCTCTTTAGATGCGTTGAACATTGCGTTCTGTTTAACGTCTTTAGTAGTATGAAGTGTTAGTGATTATTATTGCGAGATATTGTGATTATATGCACGAATATCTCTGAGGAAAATTACAGCGTTCTGTTATATTTCATTTGATAAGAATAAACTTTGTTAACCTTTTATCGAACTTGTGCATTCAATCTATTACGAACCCGTTTGCACTCAATAATATCATATTTATGCAGATTCAACTATAAAGATAGCTTTTATGAAAATCAACGTAATTTTGTTTCTTCGTTATACTTACAATAGAATATTACAATTCGTTATAATTTCAATACTTCGTTATACTTTAATATTACTTCGTTATACTTTGTTTCTTCGTTATACTTCTATACTTAAGTTTATTTAACAAGAAAATATCAGACAAACATTTTTTGCGTAGAGTCATCTAAATATGAAGCTGCATTGTAGCCATAAAAAGTGTGCTTTGAGTCATTCATGCTGGAAGTTAAGTGTAAAACATATTTTAAATGTACCTGAATTTTGGTAAATTTTTATAGTCCCGACCTTATTACTGTATAATTTTAACAGGTGTAAAAAAGTGACTATACTTATTTTCTTGTTCCTCCATTTTACAGTGTGATTTTTAAAATGGTTATTCAAACACATCTTATTTAATACATTTATCAATTTTTATCGAGCATTTAAAGGGCTCCGGTACAGAAAATGCCACTAAATGCAGTTACAGTTGCATAAGTGTTATTTGTTTTTATTTCCAGTTATGGTAGAAAGGAAGCTAGACGGAGACCAACGTGATTTCATTCGTCAGATGAAAACATTTTACGAATCCTGTATAAATGAAAGTAAGTTCTCGTGAATTTGTTGTACTTGAAATAAGATGGAAACATTTTCTCCGAGACCTTACGGAAAGCTACGAACTACCGGGTGATCAAAAAGTCAGTATAAATTTGAAAACTTAATAAATCACGGAATAATGCAGATAGAGAGGTAAAAATTGACACACATACTTAGAATGACATGGGGTTTTATTAGAAAAGCAATAATCTGATCAGAAAAGCAATAATTAGCATAATAAACTAAGACAAAGCAAAGATGATGTTCTTTACAGGAAATGTTCAATATGTTAACCATCATTCCTCAATAATAGCTGTAGTCGAGGAATAATGTTGTGAACAGCACTGTAAAGCATGTCCGGAGTTATCGTGAGGCATTGGCGTAGGATGTTGTCTTTCGGCATCCCTAGAGATGTCGGTCGATCACGATACACTTGCGACTTCAGGTAACCTCAAAGCTAATAATCGCACGGACTGAGGTCTGGGAACTTGGGAAGCCAAGCATGACGAAAGTGGCGGCAGAACACACGATCATCACCAAACGACGTACGCAAGAGATCTTTCACGCGTCTAGCAATATGGGGTGGAGCGCCATCCTGCATAAAAATCGTAAAATTTTTTGAACATTTTTTGGTTCTAATAAAACCCCATGTCATTCTAAGTATGTGTGTCAATTTTTACCTCTCTATCTACATTATTCCGTGATTTATTAAGTTTTCAGATTTATACTGACTTTTTGATCACCCGGTATTTCAACGAAATTAAAAAAATCTGATGGGGACAACACATGGCTTGTGCGGCCTATTAAATTATGAATATTTTTTGCTGCACTTAATTTAAACTTATTTGCTCAAATTAATCTAATTTTTCAAAAGCAATAGCTATCATAAATTATAACCAAACTTTAATTAGGTAGAGACGAATATCGTTAAGTCTAAATGTTAACGACAGGTGTCAGGTGAGAGCAGGGTCCGGACACCCGGGCGGCTTTCACTGACTATTCGGGTATCGTCCGAATCCCGCAATTGTCCAGAAAAAGAATATTGCAACAGGGGCAGATGGAGGAAAACAGGTGTAATGCGGATCCCTACGATAACAATGCTTAATATACAATATAAAGATATTTATATCAAAAAGTGATGTTACTATGTTGAATTACCACAATAGTAGTACATCGTATTACATTATACAGAGCGCTATTATAATAGTCGATGAATGGACGATAGATTAATACGTATAATAATAACATTTTCTGAACTCTATAGACATTGCAGAGCGGTATCAATTCGCATTGCTGAAGAAACATGCAGAGGACTATATCAGCTTAATACACAAGTATCTGAAAACTGTCTAAGTCTTCCGTTTCTCGACATTCTGGTCACACGTAACACATCCAACTTCAGTACTACGGTTTACCGTAAACCTTCATCGGTTTGCCTTCCACCACACTTTAAATCATGTCATCCGACTAAACAAAAGTTAGCTTCATTTTATTCCTATGTTTTCCGTGCTCTTCAAGTTTGCTCCTCCAAACTAGCCCTTGATGAAGAACTAAATTATTTAAAAGCAATAGCTATTGACAGGGTCTTTCCACCCAACATTATTAATCAAGCAGTTAAAAAATTCTCATCTCAACACACTAAAAGGCACACTCTTGTTTTGAGAGATTATAAAAATTTTGTTGTCATTCCCTTCTTTCCATCAATTAGCTATAAAGTTGCACATATTTTGCAGAAATTTAACTTTCGGGTTGTTTTATTCTCCCATCAATAAAATTCCGAGTTCCATACTCAAGGACCCCATTCCGGATATGAATTCCTGGGGTATTTATAGGATTCCTTGCCAGTGTGGTTTAATTTACATTGGCCAAACTAAGAGAGCCTTAAAATTTCGCGTCAAGGAACATGAGGCATATGTTAGAAAAAGGAAACACAGAAGTCTTCTGTTGCTCAACATTGTTTGGTCCGAAAACCACACTTTCAGTTTTTCTGCTGCCAAAATTATTCAAAAAACATCTTCCATTGGAGAACTGGATTTTCTAGAGGCATTTCACATTCATAAAATTTTTCTGTTCTAGTTAACGATCCTAATTCCAATCCAAATTTGCCTTTGGCCTTTAAAGAAATTATGTTTTAGTTCTGGTTTCACCAACAGATGGCGCCACTTGCTTATTCTTGTCCAGGCTTTCTTATCTTATCTAATCATTATTTCCTATCTTGTTCATTTGCGGTTTTGCAGCTGAAGATGGTGGTTCGGTAAAACCATCGAAACTAGTCCTGTGAAAATTTTGTAAATATAACGCTGATTTTTGTTGTTTGACTTCTGAATTAGTCTTTACTCATATGTTCTTAATTGTATATTACGTAACTCATATGTCCTATATTTTAATAAATAATGGAAGTGCAACTGGACTATACACATTTACTCATAAGAAACATTGGGTGTCCCTTTGCACTTCTACATCACAAACTACTCGGCTTAGATATTAAAAAATATCGTTGGCAAATACACTCGTGGTTAAAAAAATAAGCGACAAACTTTAAAAGAAGAGGTACGAATGTAAGAAAGGGAATTAAGACATACAATTTACATTTGATGTAGAGCAACATGATGTATTTACATTTGATGGCAGAATGCAAATAGACAACCAAAATTAGCATAAAATGCAGTCCCGTAGTCCCCAAACATCGCCTTAAAAAGGGATATGCAGGACATATGTGTCAGTTTGCAAGCAGCGATAGTTCCCCGTAATCCGAGGTAGCCAAAGCTGAGAGCATGAGCCGAAGACACTGTTTGCATCATAAAATGCGTTGGAGGGCTGTCGGAAGGTTGCAAGATGGTGCAACACAATCAGCTGTTGCGAGAGAGCTGAATGTAGTGTCATCGTAGTGTCATCAACAGGCTGAGGAATCGTTACCAATGGGATCAAAACCCTTGTAGAAGACGTAGGTCTGAAGGCCGGAGGCTTGCCAAAGCTACAATCGATCGCTTCTTGCTATTATTTGCAAGACGCCGACCATTTATTTAGGACTCTTCAGTGTAATTACGTCAATTCTCAGTTATTCTTATTAAGTTATTCTTATTAATTCCTATTATTCTTATTAATTTGGTGTGCATTCAACTTCTTCGTGCCCGGAAACAGTTAATCTGTTTGGAATTACTCGGAAAATACTTCGCTTTTTTGTCAGATGCACTACTCGATGGTATATTATGAAAAAATGTACAAAATACAACTTAAAAGGAAGCAGCCAGACAAGATGGTATTCAAAATATGTGGCTGGAAAGGAAGCAGTCCTTCTAATGAAATTACCGAAAATATCAAAATATTTAAAATAAATTAAAGATATTTCTCTTGATGCGGAATCAAAGCACGAGGTAGGACATCTGGTACATGCTGTGAAAAAATTTGAATTTACTATCAATCTGAAAATGTGAACTAATATTTTTCCAGAATCCAATCAAGTAAATATAGAAATTCAAAAGGAATTCCTCTTCCGCGTTCTGTATAGTTAACGAAAGAACTGGCCAAAACTGAGGAATTATAAAAAATGAGAGAAAAATCCTATGGAATATTGGATAGAAGAGTTTAAAACAATGGCCGAAAAATTTGCAGCTGCGTTTATTCTAACTAAGAAAAAATTCCACAGCACAAAACGTAATCTGATGAACTGTTTGAAGACGAATTACGAACACTTCAATCTGTTCAGATTAAAGTTTCAGCAAATTAAAAGATATTAAAAATATCTACGATCATTGGTGAGCCAGGAGCGTTTATAAAGTCTCGCGATTCTGGCAACAGAAAATCAAACCGCAGGTCAAATTATGACGATTCCATGCACTTATTTGCAGAACAAAAGGCTTACAGAGTAAACTTATAATTTTCGTTACTAATTTCGTGAGATTTTAATAGCGTTAAGGCAGGTAAGAACTTAAAATTCCTTATGAAAAAAGAAGTATGAAAAACAAGACAGGAAGCACGAATACTCTCAGTGATAGCCACTAATGAGGCCATTGCATACAAAATATGGGCTATTGTGGAAAGGAAAAATTCTAAAACGATTATACAGAATATGTATAATCTGTTTCTGTATAATCGTTTTAGAATTTTTCCTTTCCACAATAGCCCATATTTTGTATGCAATGGCCCCATTAGTGGCTGAGCGCTAGTAGTTCGGACCGAGGTTCAAGTATATGTGAATTTGCTGGCTATATGAGCATTTCCGTGATTTTCTCCGTGTGTAACATATATAAGAGCTAGTTTCCCTTACAATTTTTTTTCCACGGGGCATTCCTCCTTTTCCATGAAGTGCCTAATGGCGAAACACATAGTAAATAATCAGACAAATGTCCTCAGCAGTGGGCGAGTCATTGAGACCGCTGAATGCTGGTAGTTCAACCTTGCCTGGATTCAAACCCAGGCGAACGGACTGGCTGTATGGTTTGCTTTCGTGGAGTTCCTCATGTGTAACGTGAATACGAGCTAGTTTCTTTTAAAAAGTTCCTCCACGAAAGCACCTCTCCTCTAAGCAGATAGCCCTCCTGTCTTTGCCATATTCATCTAATCTAACCTAATGTAATTTAACCAGTATGCAATAACACGGAATAGTGAGAAGCTTAGGAGATGACCCTTCCCCCTTACCCCTAGAGCGGAAAAACGAATGGTTTCAAGGACTGGAGGGTTAGAAGCACTTCAGGATTAGAGTTAGGATTACGATTGAATCCGAAAGTAAGCGCACCAGAAAGGCAGTTCTCCTAGGAGAGGACGATTTTCTTATTATGTAACTTTGGTACATATTTTTTCCTTTATAACAAAAAAAAAAAAAAAAAAAAAAAAAAGACACCTAAGGAATTTAGTATAAAATGGAGCTTAGGTTTTTACCTCAAACCCTACCTATTTCTGTATTTATTAAACAAATTAAAACTTATTAGAGAAACTTAAAGGATGATGGGTGAGGGGAGAGTTTTAGCTTTTGCCCACATCAGAAAAATCAAAGATCCGGCGCTGTTAGGACGACACATAGCAGGTCGCAGAGTGCCGCCAGGCACTCTCCATTAGTTTCGAAATGCATTACTACAGGAGTAGGTGCTGCTGCCACAAGAAGCAACCACCAACACTATTGCCAACTTGTCTCGCCATTGTCAAATATTATGCAATTAAGCTAAAGGTTATCATACCAGTTATTAGCGTCATGTTTTCATTGCATATTCTTCCGAACTATTTGATCTTTCGCGAAGTGATGGTCGTAATACATGTGCTTTTCTATGTATTTGCTTTGTTTGCTGTATGGTCTAGTAATGCCACACCGACCTCTTGGATCAGTTTCACGCATGTGCATTAAATAATTTTTATTATATTCCGCGTTTTCACTTTGTTGCTTATTAGGTCTAAATCATAATAACTCGTTAATTAAAACAATAAAAAGCCTACAACTTAATTAACCGATTTCTCTAGGCAAGCTAAAAATTACATCAAAACCTGCAAATTTTGTAAACAAATATCAATTTTTCTCGTGCAGGAGTCAAAGTCTCTATACTTTTATTTTTTTTTCATAACGAATATAAAACTTTCTCAAATAAATTTCGGAACAGGGATATTATATGAAAATTAAGTAAGATTTCGTTATTTGACGAAAATAATTTTTATTAAATTTGACATTGTTAAAATATGAATATTTTCATAATTTAAAACATTTCTGTAATTGAAAGTATATGGTTACGATCAACAAGTCCGAAAATAAAGATAGCGTAAGAACGTTTAAGACGAGTAAGGGAGTGGGCATATGAATACATACACATACACACACACATATATATATTCATTTGTCGGAATGCACTCCCAATAGTCTGGTAAGACAATAGTATTTACTGTGATTGCAACTAATCCTGTATTTGGTGCCAAATTTCATGATTTCGTTAGGGTATTTTTTAAATAACATTAAGGTCACCTGCAATAATTCGCTATGTTGGTGGTCAATGTATTTTCCTAAGGATTGTTTTGACGAAGTCAAGGAGGGAAATTTATATGATCATAACTTCAGTAAAATTGTTATGTTTGGTAATTAGAAAATTTAACCTTGTTCTATATTTGAAACAAATATTAGAGTCAGTATTGTAGAACGGGAAATATTTTTTACTTAGGAATTTTGCAAAATCAATATAAATTTTGCAAATCAAAATTTGAGATTACTGTAATTAATGAAATCTTTAGTAATAATGTCAGTGTATTTATTATAGTTTGGATGGGGAAAAACTATCTATATATTTTAAAGCTCTTGAGTAAGTTTTTTAATGCATATATATATGTTTTATATGCGCATGTGTGTCTGTGTGTGATATTTTTGGATGGTACTGTGAGATAATTTAGCACAGAAGACATCAGTTAATTTAGCAGTCGTGAGTGGAATTGTGATGATGTCCAATGTATAATGTCGTAGTTAAAATCAACTGTAGCCAACATGAAGATGAAACATCCATTTTTATTTCGGAACCAAAGTATTTCTTTAGAAACACATTTTTTCCTTGATTGGTACGACACTAGGAGTGCTAACTGCGCCCCAAAAAGGTTAACTAGGCTACAACAGGCCTGGAAATGATGCATGTTAAGCAAAAGAGCCTATAAATAAACTCAGAATGCTTTGTTTGAATCCTGCACAGTGATTGGTCAAGGGTTTACGCTGCAGGGAACGAATGACATCAATGCAGATTCTATGAAAAGTATTGAAATTGAGATTTCAAATTAAAGGGGGCTACTGCCAATTCAGTTACTAATTTTTTAATAATTTTCTTCCACATTTTTACTCTTTACATATTTATGGACTTGATGCGGATGGGTGTTTGCAATAATTTAAATGTTTATGATGCGGAGAAGAACATGATAACAATGTGACTGAATTATGTGCATAGGGAGGGTGCAGCAATCATTAGGCGATTAGATAATAGAGTACTTTCTTTTACTGCTGACATCATAATTTTAAAACAAACGTAAAATTTTCTTTAGCAAATGTTGTATTTCTAAGACTTATCTGTTGTCAGAAGAGGGGCAAGAGTAAAGAAGGAATGTGTAGTTTCAAATGAAGGACATAGTAAATTTCCAATGACCCAAAAAGGACTATTAGTCTCGAAACGATTTTAAGTTGTTTCAGTTTCATTTGAGTCTGTTGTTATGCGGTAAAAAGGAAAATATTTATCTTTCAATTTTAATGTCTGTTGATATTAATTAACAAACTAAGCTATGTAAAAGCAATCGCTGCAGTGCTTAGGAATATTACTTTTCTATTTTTTAAGCTGATTGATAAATAAAAATGTTTTGATTCCTGATATATCCTAATTGATAATATTTTGTATTTTTATAAAATTACGTTATATATTTTTCACTTTTTAAATATACCAATTATAGTAGTATATAGCACTCCTATGTTAGTACATTATATGGAAATTTATATATCTTTCATGTAGTAATAAAGTATAAAGATGCAGTAATAATTTATATACCTTACATGTAATACTAATAACAATAATAATAGTAATGTATAAATATGTAACAATAATTTATATATCTTACATATAATAATAATAACAAGAATAATGTACAAACGTGCGATAATGATTTATAAATCATATCAATTAAGTAGAATGAGAAATTTTCTCTCCACAAGTGGCCGGCCACTTAATGCAGGTAGTTTGATGGAAATCTAAACTTAAGAAAGCGATTTATCAGCATGGGTGGTTTTCGTGCTTTACTCAGTATGTAAAGCTTCGTTCAGTTTTTATCGTAATAAAGCTTTGTGGTTTAAAACATAAAAAAAGTCATTTAGTCCGTTCGCAACTGTTTAACAGGTTTAAGAAATAGCCAATCAGGGAAGGGAAATTTGTGCATGCGTAAACGTTTAGCTGATTTAGCGAAATCATCGACCAAAGTTTGCTTCGCTGTGATTGGTCAGCTTTTATACCAGGTGGCATCAAGTTGAAACGTTAGAACATTTAAGCAAAATCCTTAAACAGGTTTTTCTGACTTGGTGTGGTTGGCTAGCGACGAAGATCAGCTTACACCACTTATAACTTCACTCTGAAACCACCGTGTGAACGAAGGTTAACCTGAACACCAACCAGTTTCTCTCAGAATGTTTTCCCTCCGTTTAGGCAAATAACCCTCGTGTATTTTGCTCTAACCTGATAACTTAAACTTTCAAATCATATTTACGTTCACTTTAGATATTTTGTAAATAAATGCGAGTTTAGCTACTTCCATCATTTAGGATCGTTAAGTAAAATGGTGACAGGTTTTCCATTTTGCTTTTTCGTTCATGCGAAATTTATATGATCATAATGCAGCGACCATTATTAAAATATCACTAATTAAAACCCAAAGAACAATCATAAATTTTTAGCAATCACGGAGTTTCAGCTGCTCTAGGGTGCAAATTAAAAATTTCAGTTTAAAGTCGGAAGGCAGGTCTTAAGTGAAACAGATTAACACATCGTGAGAAATGAGTACTGTTTTTTAAAAACAAATTGTAGAAAAATTATTTACGGTCCCATTCAAAGGGCCAATTATGGATTATTTACAACCTATTCAATAAAAAATAAAAGGGGGGGCAAGGAGTTTCTAGATATATTTTTATTTAATGAAATTTTTGTTTAATGTTTAAAATTAAAATTATATCGCAAAAGCGGCATTTACATTTTTTTTTCGCTGATAGAGAGCATTAAGGAAGCAAGCATAAAACCGCTAATGGAAATTCTAGAGGATATCGGTGGTTGGCCAGTAATTGAAGGCGAAAACTGGAATTCCAATTTCTTTGACTGGATTGATGTTCGTAATCGACTACCTGGTGTAGATGCGCAATATAATTTCCCGACGTTATCTGTTGTTGAGGATCCTAGAAACAATTCGTTTCAAATCTTAGAGGTAAGTGTACAGGCTAACAATAGTGCATTTCATATATATGTCCAGATTTCCATTTAAATTTACCTCTTTAGTAGAAAAAGAGTAAACTGGTTAAAGACGCCTGTTTCTAATGAATATTTTAACTCTGTGAATGCCCAAACGCCCGAGATGGCCATTCATTCAAACGATCACAACCACCCGAAACGACCGAGATTGTGGTGTTTTTTTCGTCCCCCCTAAGATATGCAGTAGCAGGTGCAGTTTCTCCAAATTACATCAGTTTGTTGCAGCTAGCTTGTTCTAAAAGGATAGTGGAAGCTTCTTTGCTAGGAAGTAGAAAGGATGTCATTTGAAATCTTCGACCGGTGCATTCCAAACAGCTTTCCAATTGACCGCAGGGCTCTGCAATCTATTTATAAAGTTGGAAGAAATCTGAAAGTTAAACTCAAGTTTTTTAATTCTAGATAAATTTGAATTTTGTTTAAAACTCTTTAAATGCTTTGAGAATGGCAAAATTAAGAATTTAAAATAATAAACTTATATTTTATACCTTTATTGTTAACGTTACCTAGTTTTTATGAGGCAGAATAGGTTTTATAAAAAACACGAAAAAGTATTTCCAAAAAAGTAATTTTCCGCGTCAAGGATATTCATATATTTTAAAAACTTTCTTAAAATTATCTTTTCTCAGAATAGGAGTGTTTGCATTATAGAGTCTCACCCACTTTAGTAACATAAACTAGATGAGAACTCTGAAACACGTAAGCGAATTATCGCTTTGTCTTGGAAATTGTAACGGTGACTTGAAAAGAGTGCAAAAGAACTTTTTATTAAAATCAACAGATTAAAAGAAGACAGGGCTTTATCTTACAGAAAAGCCAACATTTATGGCTTAAATCAAACGTAAAGAATTTAATTTAACCAAGTAAGTTAGCCCAAAGACTACACAGGCATTAGCTCAGACCTAGATGCCTGATGGCTAGAATAATACAAAGCTGCAGATAATTTGCTATCAAAGTATTCACCCAGTAACGTGGCTTTCAGCAGGCCGAACACGCTCGAACTCTACAATCTAACATCTTCCTTTGAATATTATCCCTCTAACTTATTTGAATTCGCGCGAACTAGAAATTAGCATTCTGGTAGGAAAACCGAAGACAACAAAGATAATTAACATAAAATAATTGGTTAATAAAATTAATAAATGATTAAAGTACAAAATAAAATTATAATTTCATGGGATCCTTGAATCCCAAATATTTGGAATTTTATTAGACTGACCTTAGCAAGTCCCTAATAAGTAAGCACTTGGTTATTGTTGAAGCACATATTCAAAATGGTTTACTCACTGAATAGACAGAATGGTTGAAAATTTCACAAACGAATGTTTCGGAATTTTAAGAGGAGCATTGAATTTAAAAAAATCGATTGTTCAGTTTTGGAGAAAGCGTAAAAAGGGAAAAATATCGTTCTGTCAATATTTCTTTCTGATCTTTTTTCCTGAAGCATCTTAGACAGGAAAGCAAAGCAGCGTGGAGATGTTAGCAGGGTAGAAGTTACGAAAAGGAATGGTTTAGTTGCTGGCGAAGAGTATTTATACTAAGTAGGTGCATAAGTACAACTAAACTGCTATTGGTTAATTTTAGGTTACTATATAACGTGAACAAATCTCGAATTTGGGAGAACAGGTGAACTTAGGATGGGAGAAAAAGCCAAATTTATAATAGTTAATTGTGAGGTCGCCAATCGTTCCTTAGCGCAGCCATCGTATTTTCTTAAATCTTGCAGAGATATATATATAAAGGAATTCAAAATATTGTCAAGATACATTCTTTAAAGCAGAAACAATGATTTATACAATACTATGTATAATGTCACACGCATTTGAAAGATTGCCAAGGTCCAGTCTTTAAACATAGAGCAGATATATTTCTCATTCATTTCAGTTCCCACTTCGCGGCAAAGCAAAAATATATAAATCTCAGAACATCTTCATTAAAAATTCTAAAATACAGAAAAACATAAAACACCAAGTACAGTTAAAACAGCTAAAAAAACAATTTTTACAATTTAAAATTCCAGTTTCTAAGCAAAAAGCAAGTAATTCGGCCTTCGACCAGCTTACAAGAAGCAGTTTTTCGATGCACAAAACTGAAAGTTTACTTTTGGTTTCACTCGGCAAAAAGACACTGAAAGTACAGAGACTGATTTAATTCACTATTCTACTAGGAGCTTTCAAATATAAACAAACGGAGTTCCATTAGGTTTAGTTGCACTTAAACAACTTTTAAATTGTTGATATTATTACAACTATCGGCAAAAGGCATCAAAACCTTAACCGAAACATAAGAGCAACTTAATTCAATCACTTTTAAAGCAAAAAATGCACAATTTACCAGCACACAAGAATAAAAACTGAGCTCATCGACCCGAGTAACAGAGTAGGTATATACACTGCTCGACATTGAAAATGCAAAACCAAGAAGGAGTAGTCAGAAACTTATGCAAAATTTAGAGTAGGCGCACGTCACTGAGTTATGCGAATGATGTCAAATGTGCAGCTCTCCGACGCACGTGAAGTAAGATATAAGGAAAGGAGAGTGCAGAATGGGCAATATTCGTGTCGTTATTTCTGCCAGATGAATTATCGAAGAAAGTTGGTTCTTGTTTCGGAGGATGCGTGCAATAGGAGAGAATGCCAGCCCGCCGTCAACGAAGGCACTTCCAGCAGACAGACGATTTTACGAGGGGTATGGTATCAGTATCACTATCAGTAGCGGGCGTAGCCCGACCCGCCTAACCAAACAAGTTGGTCTTATGGTCATGACAGGCCACGCTCATTTCAACAAAGGAAAAAATGAAACATAAAATACGAGGGATACGGTGTGAATGATGTGAAATGCTCAGGATATGGTGATCGGACTGAGAAGTGCGGGTTGGTCCTTACATCAAATCGCAGCTGATACCCACATGCATGCGAGCACGGTGCATCGGCTATGGCGAACATGGTTGGAAAAGGAAATGGGGAAGGAGGGGAGCAGGTGCAGCCAGAGTGACGTCAGCACGCGTGGATCAACGCATCCGCCGACAAGCTGTGGCAGTACCGCAAGTCACTTGTACTGCGATTTTGCAGCATGTGCAAGATACCCTGTATGTTTCCGTATCGACCAGAACCATTTTCCATCGATTGGTTGAACGTGGCCTGCACTCACGGCATCCGTTAAGAAGACTGCCATTGACCCCACAGCATAGACACCAACGTTTAGAATGGTGCCGAGCTGGAGCGATGTGGATGACAGAATGGCGAAACGTCGTGTTCTCAGATGAGTCACGCTTCTGTTTATCCAGTGACAGTCGCCGCATACGTGTCTGGCGTCGACGTGGAGACAGATCTAATCCGGCACTAACTGTGGAACGCCCCACCGCCCGACAACGTGGTATAATGGTTTGAGGCGCTATTGCCTACGATTCCAGGTCACCTCTAGTTCGTATTTAGGGCATTATGACGGCCTTGGATAATGTACTGCGGCCTTGGATAATGTACTGCGGCCGATGACAATCTCCTACCTTCAGGGGCTGCCTAATGCAATTTTTCAGCAGAATAAAGCCCGACCACACAGTGCTCATATCTGCCAACATGCTCTGCAAGGTATACAGATGCTTCCCTGGCCACCGTACTCTCATGACCTGTCACCAATCGAACATGTATGGGATGTGATTGGACGCCGTTTGCAGACTCTGCCCCTGCCTCGTTCAGAAGACGAACTGTGGCAAATGGTTTAAAGGGAATGGAGAGCCATCCCTCAGGACACCATCCGCACTCTTATTGACTCTATGCCTAGACGTGTTTCTTCGCGCATCGCTGTTCGCGGTGGTCCTACATCCTACTGAGACGACGCCGTTCTCGCTCTGTATTCTGACTATCATTTTGAAATAAAGATCACTTATTGCTGCTTGCTGTCTCTGTCTTTTTTCCAAATTTCATCACCTTTCTGACCATTCCTTCTTGGTGTTGCATTTTCAACGTCGAGCATTGTATACATCGGCCGCACCAAAAGTATATATGTATATATACTTTTTATACATATATGTATATATGTATATACATATACATATATGTATATATGTATATATACTTTTTTGATGTATATATACATATAAAGTATATATGTATATATACACCAAAAGTATATATATGTATATATACTTTTGGTGCCGCCGATTGTAACCAAAATTGGAGATGCACAACTACATGTTATTAGCAGTCCCATATACAAAATTTCAACGTTGTAAGGCTACTCGTTTTTGATTTATGTTTGATACATACATATATAAAGGACGAACACAAGTCACGAAAAAATCTCTTCTGAATTCATTTCAAATTAATTTTCTATTCTTTTTTGGAAAAAAAAGTCCTTTATTCTGTCCGTACGTACTGATATCATGCATAAACAGGGTTTAAATGGATTGTAGACAGGTTAAAATGGATATTTTCGTTGAAATATGATACCCGAAATTTTCCAGGATTATAATACTTCGTACAAGGAAGTCAAAATCAGGAAGAAGGATTACGTTTTTTACGTTTTTCTTCAAATGAGATTTTCCAATATATAGGAACATTTTTCAAAACTTCTATTCCCAAACTTTTTTTTTATATTTTCAATGGCAGATTATTAACAGTTACAGCAAAAAAAAAAAAAAAAAAAAAAAAAAAAAAGAATACAGCAAAACAGTGAAAAAAAAACTGTAACAGAGTCCATTAATCTAACATATCTCTTGCCTCCCAGTAACGCTCGGCGAGAAAAGTATTGCTCTGAGCAGGACAGTGGGGTAGATTTGCGGTATACATCACTTCTCCAGAGCTGCACAAAGTGCATATAGGAGAAGGAACGATTTTGAATCTATGAAGATGATACTGTAGGCAATCATGTCCGGTGGCAAGGAGAAATTCAGTGATCGCTCTACGCCTTAGGCCATTACACAAATTCGGAATAGCATTCTTCCAAGACTTATGAGAAACACGATGCTAGAAATCTTCCTGAGCACATACCTTGAAAGATTTTTTAATAAGATCCCTAACAGTATGGAAAGGCAAAGGAGGAGAAATATTCTGCATGATTAAAGCACCCTTTTTTTTGCAAAGAAGTCGGCTTTCTCGTTACCTGGAATTCCATAGGGGCAGGAACCCACTGGAGGACTATAGTTTTCTCAAGCGAAGCCAGGTTTTGTAGATAACGTCGACAATCTAATATGTCTTGTGATATGGGATTTTTATCTGAAACGATAGCCAACAGTGCAGCTCGTGAATCACTGAGTATAGTCCCAAACTAAAAGTTTAAATTTTATTTCACAATGTTACTTTCCTAAATACATTGAGTGGGCTTACTTAAATTAATTCCCAAGACGAAATTAATTGAGAACCATATTTTGCTTAAAAATGTCTTACATTTATTAAAAATTATAATATTAAAAATTATAATATAATTATAATAAATAAATAAAATGGTTTAAATGCAATGTCATGAATTTTAGTTTGCTCTTTTCTAGTTGAGCAAAAGGCCATGGTGGGAACTCGAAAATAGGTTTTTAAACAATGGTCCAGACCATTACGAAACAGTTGAGTACTTCAAATTAATGACAGAAACTGCCAAAACCCTTGGTGCAAATGAATCTACTTCGCAGAATGAACTCAAGGAAGTTCTCGATTTCGAAATAAGGCTTATTAATGTAAGTAGAAGGTTTCTTCAATTTAATATTAATCGATATATTTATTCTTCACGACAGTATTTTTCTAATTGCTTGTCCTGTTTAGCTGTCAACAATCTACAAGATTCTTTCGTATAGTCCTTACTACAATTTTATTTGAGCATGAATTTTGAAGTTTCTCCAAGCAAACAGAAATTAACTGCAATGAACAATATTGTTACGAAATGCCTAGCTGTGGTAAGATAACTTTTCCGCAAAGCGGGTTTAGTGTTCAAATAAGTGAAAATACCTAGTAATTAATTTACTTACAACATAAATACCTAGCGGGTTTAGTGTTGTCAGATAGAGGCGAGGAAATGCAGGGTTACCAGATTTGGTACGAAATCCCCCATTTGGCGATAAAATTAGCCATATGCCTTAGACAGAACATTCTAGAACAAATTCTTACTGTTTTTCCAAGAATGATCTCGAAGACAGTTCAAAAACTATCAATTCTTTTAGCAGTGTATCCTGAGTATGTTGATTTCAGTAGTAGTGTCTTGAGCTCAGAAGAGAGCGATGGACCGAATCGGGAGATGTACTTTAGTGCTTTCCTGTAGAGCTGTCTTCACCGTTATAGCCTGATAGCCGGTTGGCTCTGTTATTGACGTTTTCAGCGTGTTTATCGTAGATTTTTGACGGCTGAAATGTGCCTTAGGAACTGTTCTATGCAATACTGACGAATAAATTGTGTTTTGATTCTTCATTAAGTGTTGCCATGAATCCCTCCAAATCCACAAACCTGTACAACGCATGAATATGCAAATATCCTGTGTTGCGATAAATATGGTTCAAACATTTTGGAGTAAAAGCACTTATAAAATATCAAAATGCGCCAAAACTTATTACGCATTTAAAACCTCGCTGTCTTTGTAACTGATTGTTTCTTAATCGTGTATTTATTTTGAAAATGTGTGTATTTAGTTTTGATACTGTATTTACGCTTATGTTCCAGATTTAATAAAATATCTTCTTCGTCGCCAACTTAAATTTGTTTCATAAACTGAAAGCAACACTGTGGATAAACAAATCAGTATTATACCAATTTTTTTTTTTTTTCCAAATTTAGAAACTAACATATCGTTGCGAATGTTGCACATAAATAAATGATTTCAGTCCAGTTAAAAGCGAAATTATTGCATTTTTCTATGTAATGTAACATGAAAAATCTAGACACAAAAACTATACCTGAAGAATACATGGGCGACTCCATTTATCATCGAGTAAATGGATATCGCGGTAGTTTAGTGAGATGTCGCCAAGTTGGCGACGGTTTTTGTGACTTATTTTTGTCACCAAATTTTGCGAGAAATTGCCAAAATTCACAAGCATTTGGCTACATTTTGGTCCGGTCCCTGTATCACGATAGTAGGTATTGTAATTGAATAAATGTAATTGATCACTATAATTAGGTATGAACCTAATTCGACCCTCACGGCCTTCCAGTAATTTCTAGAAGCAGAAAGTACTAAAATTATCTCCTCAGCCGTGTACAAACTATATAAGGCCGTAGAGACCATCTGCTGTCAGTTGTTGTTGTTATCGTTGCGAGCTGTTAAGTTCAGCGTGAGATCGGAGTACCGAGATATTTTCGGGTTAACTTTCTCTTTAGATGCGCTTTGCATTGCGCTGTGTTTAACGTTCTTAGTAGTTTGAGGCGTAAATACTAATTGTATTCTGTAATACTTGAACACCTGTACGAGTATTTCTGTGGAAAACTGTAGAACTTTGAAGTGTTTCTTTTGATAAAATAAATTTCATTAACCTATAATGGGATCTATGTGCATGCAATCTGTAACGAACCAGAGCGTACGGAACAGGATAATTGATATGAATTATTATTTAAAAATGATCAAATTATATTTACCTAACAAATAACATTTTTTAATTATTTTTGGGATTCATGTTATTTTTGGGACTACTTTTAGCATAAAATTAAAGGTAATTTCTAAACATTTTCAGCGAGAAGTATAATAGTTGGTTACTTGGTCACATTATTTTCTCACATATTTTATGCAGTTAATCAAAGTTTCTTCACATTCCCACCTGCAGTTTCAGTGAAAAAAAAAAAAAAAAAAAAAAAAGATAATTTTAGATATGATTTTCAAGCACGAAAAGTTTAGTCATAATTTTCTTAATTCAGTAAATGCATAATTTTTGTTTCAGTATTAATAAAGAAATAGAAAAATATACTTATAAGGTGAAGTTTTTAAAATAAACTTAATTATACATTTAAACAGTGTTGAATACATAATCCCCCGTAAGTTTAATTGAAGCAATGAGAATAGAGGAATCGAAATTTTCTTACGATTTCAAACTTAGCTATACTTCTAAAGATTCTTGTGTATCAAGCACAATAATTCTCCATCTTATAAAGAAACATAAATCCACCATTTGTTTATATAAAATGAAAGTTAATTCGTTAAAGTTTTACAGGAGTTTAATAATTTCTTGAAATTTTAACCAGCCGTTATAGAAAAACCATAGTCGCAAGCTGAGAAACTATAGTTTTAAAAATTCATAGTTTAAGTAACGTCCTACACATTCTATAAATGCACGTAATTTTCTTATTAGTAATAAAGAAATATAACACTGTATTTGTAAGTTAATAAATATTGTTGCGTTCAGCAGTTTCGAGTACTCGGAGTAAATAATGATAACGCTTGTTAAACAATAAAATTTATTCCCAGTAAGAACTGTTACACAGGACAGTTCCAAATATTCGTTTACACTTGTCGAAAAAGTACGTCAAATACGCTCAAACAATCAGCAATACAGCCTTCAAGCTGTAACGGTGAAGACAGCTTAACGGCAAAGCGCTAACGTAAGCTCCAAGCTAATCTCAGAACTTAAGATACCACTCTCTCCCAAGACAGGCAGGGCATATATAGCTTTAACGTACCTTTGAGAATATTCTCGGGAAACGCACTAAAAATATGTTCTACGCTGTTCTCTCTCCGTCAGTGGCATATCGCCAATTTTGTCAGCAAATATCGCGATTTTCATGAGCGATTTCGGGCCAAATCTGGCAATCTTGCCTTGCCTTGTATTTTCTGACAACCCTAAGCTCGCCTGATTGCAGGGAAGCTACCTCATCGCGTAGCCGCTGGGCATTTCTCAGTAACATACATAATTAGAACAACTCTGCTTTTATAATCACCATAATTTTGAAAGAAGCAGTTGAAAAGTGAATGAGTCGAAATTTTCATACGATTTTAAATTTAAATATGGCCTTTAAAGTTTTTATATCAGAAACATAAAATTTAGCTTTCGATACAGATATGTTTATGTTAGGTTAGACTACATTGAATATGCCAGAATGAAGCACGCTACCAGCCTAAGAGGAGGTATGCCTTTTTGGGAAACTGGCTTTTATTTGCAGTACACGTGGGAAAAACCACAAAATCCAACATGCAGCTAGCCCATTCGCCTGAGATCAAATCAAAACCGGGTCGAAATAACAGCATCCAGAAGTCGATACAGTAGTTACACAATTAATCAAAGTTTATTGCCAATCAGGCAATTCAAAGAAATGAAGCACGCAAATAGAAAAGTCACATTTTAAGAAATCTTAATTGAAAACGAAATTACTGTTGAATTTTTTAAGCAGACCTCGTTCCTAAAATTAAAACGTATATGGTTATGCTAATCAGTTAACATTTTCAACATGCGCATTCATTAATGAATATAAATTGTATACAAAAGCATAAGCAGTTTAGAGAATTTAATACCAGGAATTTGTTGAAATGGAATTAGCAAATTTAGCCTTACAAATGGAAAAAGTGAAGTTTAAATAAAAGTCATAACCTAGATTTTAAAGTGAATTTTTATATGAGTTTTTTTAAATACTTCTAAAATGTCAATTAAACTTTTGTCAGATGTCAACATATTTTTTTTTAAATTATTTAAATATACTTGACCCTATAAAATATGGTTCCATTTAGTTGACGGAATGGAAGATAATCAGAGAATTTTTGGTAAAATTGCAAAAATACGCTGGCTTTTCCCTCGCTTTAGAAAGTCACACAAAAAAAGTTTTCGACCATTTTACGGCAGTGAAAATCAAAAGACTTTCTACGAATAAACCTATTCGGCTTGGCATCAATGTTCATAAACTTTGTGTTGCCGATGTTGAAAATTATTATGTAAAATAATAAAATAAAGTAAAACCAGATTATGTAAAATGGTCAGTAATGAACACGATTCTGATCTCCTTATAATTTGAAAATATGACTATTCGCAATATTCATTTGTGAGAATAATATTAAAATAGTGAAACTTAAATGCGAGAAATAGATAATAACTAAATAATAAAATAATTTTTTAATGTAAAAATGATTCTGATATAGAAACGGAAAAGAAAGGTTTGGCTGCGTTTATTTGATTTTGGCAAAGCACTCAAGGGCTAATTGGCTAAGGGCCGAGATACCGTCATGGAGACCTAAGATAAGATTTCCTAAGATAAACTGGCTGTATTCCTGTTACACATGAAGAAAACCATGAAAACTAACCATGCAGCCAGCTCGCTCAGCTGGAATCGAATCCAAGCCAAATAGAACTATCAGTGTACCCATCATGAGTACTGTATACATCAACAAGGCCACAAGCCTAAGGAGAGGGATGCCTTTATGGAGGACTTTCTTACGCAAACTGACTCGTATACACGCTACATATGCGGGAAAACACGAAAACGCCCAAGTAGCTAGCCCCTTCCCCGGTATTCGAACCCTGGATCGAACTATCAGTGTTCAGTGACTTTGCTGCTCGGTCGGTTTTGGACCTCCAGAAAAGAAAGACAAACGAATTTTAAAAGAAAAATAAATGGCATTTTCAGAATTAAAAAATTAAGTCATAATTGAGTGTTAAACAATTTTGCTACAATCTTCGGCATGTATATTTTTGGCACGTCCTGTATATATGAGAACTGCATAGTTTGAATATACAGTGGTGGCCAAAATTGTGGACACTTTTGGAAATTTTTATGTATTTGAACTTTGTATGCTTAGAGAAAACGTTACGTTTCACAAAATACAAACTTGTATATATCATTTTAAAGAGAATTTATTACTGAATTCAATACAAAACACAAAATTCAATTATTTGCAATACAAAAAAAGTTAAACGATAATAGTTATCGATATACATTAGATAGTGATGATTGCAGTGAGTTATCAGTACTTAGTAGAGTACCCTTTATTTTTGATTACAGCTTCACATCGATGTTTCATTGAGCTGACAAGAGTTTTAAGCTCTTCTTTCGTTATTACATGATGCCAGGAAACAATTATAGCCTCAATTAGTTCCCTTTATTTGATGGGCGTCTCATTCGGACAAGAGTTTTCAAACGGTGCCACAAATTTTCGATAGGATTGAGGTCAGGACTGTTTGCTCGCCATGACAACAATTTAATGCTCTTTGTACGAAACCACTCTTTCGATATTTTGGTCGTGTGGCAAGGAGCAGAATCCTGCTGAAAAATAAACGAAGCATTGTTGGAAAAGATATCTCTGATGGAAGGTAGAAGTTTTGGTTCTAGAATAGTGTCAATGTACTTTCTGGCATTCAATGTCCCATCGATGACATGAATGCGACCAATACCATCTGCTGACATGCATGACCAAATCATAACACTAACTGGGTTCTTCACAGTTCCTTAAATGCAGTCAGGATGTAGCTCTTCTATTCTACGTCTTAAATATTTTCGCCCATCACTACCGAAATAACGATATCTTAGTTTCATCACTCCATATAACTTGTGACCACTGATCATCTGTCCAATTAATGTGTTCCTTTGCCCACTGTAGTCTTTTTTTTTTTTTTTTTTTTTTCGTTGCTGAAAATTAAGATAAGCCTTTTTTCGTGGAATTCTACCTCTCAGTCCAACATCTGTTAATCTTCTCCTGATTGTTCTTGAACTGACAGAAACACCAGCATCATTCTGATCACTTCTGATGGCCGCTGAGACATTTTCTATCTTGGAGGGAATAGTCTTTTATTTTGTCATCAATAGATGTGGTGCAACTTTTTCGGCCTTTTCCTTCTTTGTTTTTTATTGAATTTGTCTCCTGATATCGTAAACGAAACTTTCGGACTCCAGATGTAGTCCTGAAACCACCCCTGTCTTGCAATTTCAGCAAGGAAAGACCACTTTTCGTAACACAAAATATTTTACATCTCTTTCTAGGTGTCCAATCTACTCTTTTATTTGATGTCATTGCTTTCTTGACTAAATATAAAAAATTTACAAAAAAATTCCTACTGTAATTGCAGTGTATAAGAAACAGGTCCTCCTTCTACAGAACAAAGCAAAATTAATTGGTTTCAAGTGTAACATTATGTCAGCTTCTACTGGCAGTTACTAAATTTGATTGGTTCTCAGAACAAGAACAGTGATTGGCCAGGAAAGCTAGACATAACAAACCACTTTCATAACTGTGTTTTTATTTATATTAAAGCACTAAACTTTTTTACTGCAAATAATTGAATTTTGTGTTTTCTATTGAATCAGTTAATACATTCGCTTAAAATGATGTATACAAGTTTGCATTGTGCGAACCGTAACATTTTCTATGAGCATACAAAGTTCAAAAACATAAAAATTTCCAAAAGTGTCCACAATTTTGGCCACCACTGTATATCTTCTTTTATTTTACTGCGGCGACTTTGCACATAGGTGGTTTTATCCAAACGGGAATTTATATTTAATAAGTTATATAACATATGACGTACAATGTAATATCCAATTAAAATATGAATTATTGTACAGACGTTATCTAAAGCTACGTATTACGCTTACTATTTAAACAATTAGCGTAATGAATTTAAAACAGACTTGTGAAAAGCTTATGCTCATGTACAAAATGAAGCAATTATATCTAATTATATTTGGGATGGTTAACTTGAAGAAAATATAATATATTTTCCTAGAGAATCAATATCAATTATAGCGACTGTTTAAACTATTCACTCACTCTTCATTTCGGATTTATGCTTTACGAGGGAAAAAATCATAAACTACGACTTCTTCGAAGTGTTCCTAGAGTTTATGCAAAGAAATTGTTATCCAATGAGGGCGAATGCAACAATGAATTAAGCAATTTTGATTGTTACCTAAATAATATGTTACACTTTTTTTTGATTCTATTTTTTTATATAGATTACTTTAGAAAATTCGAAAGAAGAGAATGATACGTATTGCACCATCCAAGAACTTAAGGATAAAATACCACAGGTAATTACCATGCGAAATCTTCAAGTATTACTTTAAAAAATTCTTTGAAGTTTCAGTAATACTTATCTTTAGAGATAGATTTAAAGCATAAGAGAATATACAACTTCTTTAAAAAATATTGCATGTTTACAAAAACAACAGTTTTAGTTAACTAAGATTACAATTTGGATATTCGGAAATTTTGTTAAGGTTGTCATTCGACAAATTTTGTTGAGTCTGCCTCTACATGTATTTAGCGCTGTAGGATACTAAAAAGCGCAATTTTATGCGAAAAGGGAAATTGAAATGAGCGCATATTAGGTAAAAAGGAAGTATAGTTGTAGATATGGTGAAAAACGTAAAACAGACACAAGTAAAATAAGGATTCTTTACAATTCAGGATTATACACGTTATCCAAAGTAGACATAGATTTCCAATTACGGAAATGTTTTATAATGCCAATATTAATATTTTGCCCTTTTAAATTTTAAAAGTAAACAATATTGCAAAAAAAAAAAACGGTGAAATCTAGCTTTTTACACTTTCTCGTGGTTCCAATAATTGTATGAATATAAGCTTTTACTTCTAAACTTTTGATTTTCGAAGGATGAAACATTAATAGAGATATCTAATACTGTTATCGGGTCCGGATTCAGAAAAGTGTGAATATATGTACATATATGTGTTTGTGTATACACAAACATACGTACGTACATGCATACCTACGTAAATTCATACATGCATACATACGTACATTCATACCTACGTAAATTCATACATGCATACATACGTACATTCATACCTACGTAAATTCATACATGCATACATACGTACATTCATACCCGTAACATCATACCTACGTACATTATACCTACGTAAATTCATACAATGCGTACATTACCCTACGTAAATCATACCTACGTAAATTCATACATGCATACATACGCACATTCATACCTACGTAAATTCATACATGCATACATACGCACATTCATACCTACGTAAATTCATACATGCATACATACGCACATTCATACCTACGTAAATTCATACATGCATACATACCCACATTCATACCTACGTAATTCATACATGCATACATACGTACATTCATACCTACGTAAATTCATACATGCATACATACGTACATTCATACCTACGTAGATATATGCATAGTTCAACACATACAACCATATTTACATGTATACATACATGCATACATACGTACATTACATTCCTACATAATTATACTGCATACATGCACTTACACATTCATTCATACCTACGTAGTATGCATGTTTCAACACATATAGTTCAACACATACAACCATATTTACATGTATACATACATGCATATCTGAATCCGGTCCCGAAAATAGAAGAATGCTTATTCATTTCAAAATTTGAGATTTTCTTCTTGTCTTCAGTTTACCTTTCTTAAATGGACTTTTCTTTCGCATCGTTCTGTTTTATTTGCATTGAAATTTAAGTAAGAGTAACCGGATATCAAAAAAATGCTTCTCCCTTTTATTAATTTAGCATTGAACTTCAATGTTAAATTAATTAAAGAAAGAAGCATTTTTTTATACCCGGTTACTCTTACTTAAATTTCAATATTACTCAGATTTAAAACTTTAATTAATTTTTAGGAAATTCTGTATAGTGATTAGTGCAAATCTGAAAAGATTTTAAGAGTAAGCTAGAATGGTCCCTAGTTAGGCAAGCAAATCATAAACTTAATACATAAGAATCACAATCTCTTCATTGATTTAAAAGGTTAGGCATACATTTTTGAAGTTCCGAAAAGCTATAATAATATATAATATTCAGATGAATGGTACTAAATATAATCTTTGTGCATGTAAAATAAACAGCTACATATATTTAGATAAGCGGTGTTACATTTCACATTAGAAATAGACTTTGCGCACATCTAGAACAAAGGAGAGAAAGAAGATAAATTTATAAATAATATATCAAACGGAAATTGTAATACTTTCGTTCTAAAAATTCACAGAATAATATAATTTCAAAGCAGATTAATAATTTCAAAACAGTTAACCTAGGAACTGAAACAGATTTCTCACATTGAATTCTGCTTTAAGGAAAGAAAAGTTAGAGGAGTCATTCCAAGTTTCCAAAATTTTTATACAGAATAAAAACCCATCGGAAGACGATGAATTAATCTAATAATTAATAGACGATGAAGCTACATTTTTAAAAGTCTCAGATGTATTATTTGATAAATTAAAAAATAAAACTGAGGTAATAGCTGCTGTTAAATCTGCATAGCTTTCTGAAAATATAGTAAAGACAGTTACTGCTATCAGATCTGACGTTACTTCGCAACTTAAAACTGATTGTGATTGCAACAGTTGTTTTACCTTACAACTTTGACGAACCGAATATATTTTCTACATAGTTGATACAGATCAACTGGCCGTTTTTGAAAGGATGCCTTTAATAATTTCGAAATTAGTCTTGGTGAAGATTATACCACTAACAGGACTAAGGTTCACTAATTGTGTGATGAAATATTTTGATTTTGAAGAAGAGTTTCGAGCAATGGAATTGGAGCTGATTGATTTTTAAAATGATTTATCTTTAAATTCTGTTTCTTCAAGCTCTGGAAACATTTGGTCCCTTATTCTTAAAGAAAAACATTTAATATTTATCCAGGTTGATCTAAAAGTGAATGCAGTGTTCAGTTCTACATATCCGTGCGAGTTCTGTTTCCGAGATAAAATTCATAAGAAACAAGTACAGAAACAGATTGATTGATATAACGCCTAGACAACTGTATTTCAATTCCTGCTACTAACTACTCTCCAAACATTAAAAATCTTGTTGATGGCTAAAAAGTGTAGTTCCACGAAGGAACACTTCTCTCTATAATTCCGCTACGTTGAGAATAGTTTTACTCTGTTTGACGGTAATAAAGATGTTTTAAGTAAAGTTATTTTAATAATGAATTCCACCGATCCTGTTATTCAGTTCGCTTTTTAACTTGAGATATCCAACTGCCTTCTGTTCTTCACCATCTCGGTCACACGCAACATATCCAACTTCGGTAATACTGTATACAGTAAACGTTCGCCTGTTCGCCTTGCACCACATTTCAAATCCTCTCATTAGGCTGCACAGAAGTTAGATTCATTTTATTCCTTCGTTTTCAGAACACTTCAAGTTGACTTCTCCAAGTCGACGTTTTGCTACGTACACGTTATAAAGCAATCCTCTCGTGAATTCAAATGAGAAAGACGCGGCTGATGACAAACTAGAATTTTAATTTCTTTTATACAACAAACGAAAGAAACACTACTTCCTGCAGTCAAGAAAAGAGAAAAATTGTTATGCGAGCTTTATCTCTCTATGATATAAACAATAATGTCTGCTTGTGTGTTTTTTTCTTCGAGTTAACTCAGTCAAGCTATCGTCAAACTTTCTACAATTCGTTTCTAGGTTTGGAAAAGGTGGATGTCCACTTATTTCCAAACAAAAAATAGCAAAAATAAGAGATATTAGTTAAAAACTCTGAAAGCGCTAATTTTTGCCTTTAATTTTTCGAGTGGCAATAGTCTCGCACGCTGGAGATAAAAATCTGCTTTATTTTGAGAAGTGTTGCCACTGCTCGCTTTTAAATCATAAACTTTGTTAATAAAAATTTTCTAAGTTTTACAATGAAATAAAAATAGCTTTGCCAAACATTACGTTCATTATTCCCGATTCCAAAAATTTGTGGGAAGCCATTTCGACTGTTCCCATACTCAAACAACTTTAATCAGCAGAGATATTAATTAAAAACTCTCAAAACACTAATTTGTTTTCACTCATTTTTCCGAGTGGCGAGAGTCCAGTGCGTCGGAGATAAAAACGCTTTGTTTTGAAAAGTGTTGCTACTGCTCGTTTTCAAATCGCAGAATTTGTTAATCAAAAACTTGTAAGTTTTATTATATCTATATACATAAAGAAGAATGCCTGTTTGTGTGTTTCTTTGTTCGTGTTATTGATTTCTAATCAATGATCATACATTTTTTGCCACATTTAATCGACTAAAATTGAAATAAAATATTAGATGGGACTTCAGATTTTACGACCAAATGATTAGAAAGATAAAAATCATTAAAAACTGCGTGCCATTGTTGCTGATATGATGAAAGATAATTAGTTTGCTTTTCTATCGAAATTTTTATGAGGTTTCCATACCGTATCAGACTGAAAAATATACTACTATGAATCGTATTTTTCACATCGTTATTATAGAAGTATTACAGAGGTATCGTTCTCTCTGTTTTCAGACGCATTACTCTCAATCTAACTTAACTGGCATCGGGGACTTCCGCTAGTATCAAATAAAAGAATTTTTTACGTTTATAGTCTTCGTAGCAGCAATAAATGTATTATCAAATTCTCTTGATAGTTTGAATGTTTAACTTGCTGTATTTGTCATGTATTATTTTATATATCTGTTCGGAAATAGAAGATGCGAAACACTTTTCTTTAACTTCCTCACAGATTGAATGGATCAAATTTTTCAAAATTGTACGGAATGACGAAATTCTTGAAAATGAAACCGTGCCCGTTACTGATCAGCATTACATCATGAACGTTGCCAGTTTCATTGTAAATGCAAATAAAAGGTAAGTTCAAAAATAAATTCGTACATAGCTAATTGAAAATAGATTTTTATAAATATAGGATGTGAATCTCAAAAAGGAAGAGAGAGAGGTGCAAGATCTTCTGCTGTTTATGGTAATAGTAAACTAGTAGAGACAATAGAGACATAGGTATTCTTTTAGCAGCAGGAGTCATGAAAAATGAGCAACGCCTTCGCCGTGTATCGAACCACGTACCTCTGTAATACGCGTCCAGCATGCAGGCGACTACACCACGAAGTCACGCCAAGAAGAAATACACTATAAACTTACAAAAAAATATTATTTTTAAATTTCCAAAATTTAAACAGGAAAATCTTGGATATTATTATTAAGAAAAATTTTGATTTAACTCTTCAGAAAATTAAAGTGACTGATTGAATCTAAGTTAATTAAATGTAAAGGAAACAGTAATATAATAAAGCATTGCTTAGAAGTCAAACAACAAAAAATCAACATTACATTTGCAAATTTTCCAAGACTACTTTCGATAGTTTTACTAAACCATCACCCTCGGCTCTCAAAGTGCAAATGAACGAGAAAAGATAAGAATGGCTGGAGAGGAGTTAAGCTAGTGGCGACATCTATTGATGAAACAAGAAAATTATAACATATTTTCTTTAAAGGCTGAATGTAAAGATGGATTGTAATTAAAGTCGTTAAACTAGAACAGAAATACTTTTTTTGAATGTGAAACGCCTCTAGAAATTATAATTCACCATTGGAAGGTGTTTTTTGAATAATTTTGGCTGCAAAAAATGGAAAGTGTGATTTTCCGACAAAAAATGCTGGGCCACAAATGACTTCTGTGTTTCCGTTTTCCTAACATATGTGTCATTTAACGCGATATTTTAAGGTCTCTTATTTTGACCAATGTAAATTAAACCACATTGGCAAGAAATCCTGTAAATAGCCCAGGAATTCATATCCGGCACAGAGTTCTTAAGTATAGAACTGAGAATTTTATTCATAGTAGAATAAACAACCCAAAACTTAGATTTCTGTAAAATACGTGCAATTTTATAGCTAATTGCTGGAAGGAAAGGAATGACAAATTATTACAATCTAATTATTACAATCTAAGATTGTGCTTCTGGTGTGTTAAGATGAGCATTTTTTAAACTGCTTGGTTGATAATGTTGGGTGAAAAGCTCCTGGCAATAGCTAATTCTTTTAAATAATTTAGTTCTTGATCAATAGCCAATTTGAAGGAGCAAACATGAAGTGCACGGAAAACAAAGGAATAAAATGAAGGTATGTTTTGTTTAGTCGGATGACATAATTTAAGTGTGGGGGATGGCAAACCGATTAAGGTTTACGGTAAACATTAGTACTAAAATTGGATGTGTTACGTATGACCCAATGTTGAGAAACGGAAGAGAATTGAATTCATTTGCTGAGGAGGATGGTTCGGTAAAACCATCGAAACTTGTTTTGGAAAATTTGCAAATATAACGCTGATTTTTGTAGTTTGACTTCTAAATTAATCTTTGTTCGGCGTGTTATTGTAACCTAAAGCTTTGCTTATTAAGATATATCTTATGTTAATTTAAGAAGGAATTCAAGAATGACAGAAACGGGCAACTAATTCTATGCTGCTTCAAGTCTATGCCACACTTCATCGTTGTTGGCAGTCTCATGACGTGGGTCTCTGGCGTGTACATCAGGGCAGCATCCTCGAAAAATATGATCGCATTATGTTGTTGGAGGCCACAATCACTGGACTTAAGATGTCAGAAATGTACTGATCTGCCTTCAAATTACCGTCGACCCGAACTAGAGATGTGCGTGTCATGCACCCAATGGCTGCCCAAACCATTACACCAGATGCAGACCCCCTATGCCAATATCGAATGCAAGCAGGCGACGTGCGGTCTCCTTGGAGCCTATAGACATGGATACGGCCATCCGAATACTACATGAAGAACCGGGACTCGTCTAAAAAAGCAATGTTGTAATACTCCTGGGTTCAACTTTGTCGTTCGGCACACCAGAGTCACCATCTCTCTCTATTCTGCATTGTCAATGGAAGATGAAGTAATGGTCGTCGTGTTTATTATCCACGTGGTTGCAAACCTCGATGAACCTTTCGAGCTTATACTAGGCGTGCTGCAAACATGCCCATTTCCTCACTCCTTGATGTGGTTGTACGTTTTGCAGGGCTAAGCATGACAGTCATTGGATGTTGACCAGTGCGACGAGCGATATCACGGAACGATAATCCACACTCTCGATAGGAAACGATCCTGTCTTTGTCGCATTCCGACAGTTTCTGGTAAACATTTCTTATTATTATTCGAGCCACATACGATTGATATTGTGAGCAAACTCTAACCTTACAAACGCTTTCCAAATGAGAAATACAGTACACGACTTTTCTTTTATGCAAATCTTCAGATGTCGTTTCTCCCTCCTGCGTCGTCTAAATGGGCTGAAATGCTTATCATTTGCATATCCCAACCTCTTCTTTCTTTCAAGTGATTTTGACGTTCGTCAGATCATTCCTACCTGGTGTTGCAATTTTAATGGCTAGCAGTGTAAGTCTTAGTAGCCTGATAGGTTGGCAAGTAGGAGAAATGGTGGTTTATCTAAAGGAATATTTTGGGTATGTCTTAAATTTACAAGAAACAAGTTCAGAAATAAATTGATTGACGAAACGCTGGACAACCGTATTTGAATGGCTACCACTAACTACTCTCCAAATATTAAAAATGTTGTCGATGATTGAAAAGAGTAGTCCGAGGACGGAATCACATACGAATCATACTTCCCTGTGTAATCCCAAAATAAAAAAAAAAATTGTCTTTTATGACTCTCAATACTTACAGCATATTTTGTAATTTATCGCGTATTGTAAATATTAAAAAAGCATCTGTATGCAGGATAATTGTTTCAAAGTGAATTCCAGAATTAAAATTGTTGCTTTTTTCAACACGAGCGGCTAAGGCTAAGGTATCTAGTGCAGTTCGCAAACCTCAGCACAGTGTATTATGCATAAAATGTGACTTTTTTATTTGATTACGAAAGCAATTCTGTGCAAACATATATTTCCTATTTGTAATATATTTTGCTTATACCTTTGCAAAATTTTTCTCTCACATGAAGAGGTTTTATGTCCCACGTTAACAACTAATAAAATACACCGAAATTAGAAATCATTGTATTGTAAGGGATGGACTCTTCAGATAGTTTAATTATTCATTGAAATGTTTGTAGAACTGAATTAAATGATGTGTAAAATCTCAATAATGGGATTAACACATATTATAAAATTATTTAATGGATTTGTGTATAAATATTATGAAGGAGATAGAGAAAATCTTTTGAGAAATATATTTCAAGAGATAGCCACTATGTCCTTCAACAGCAACACGCTGTAAGAAAACAGTATCCTTAATTTAAACATTCCTGTTTGTTCTGATTATAGAAGCAATAAAATTTACTAAAATATTCATTTTCTCTAAATTCAGCTGACAAGTATGCCATGGAAATTCTTCAGTATGATACATCTCTGTGAATCTTCTTAAGCGCCATTTTCGAATCTTTCATTCATTCGTACCCATACATTTATGTTCAACTCGCTACCAATTCAGTAAGCTACTTTTCGATCTGAAGCATCCATATTAATATTATACCAATTCCCATCGGTAATTATTATCTCCTTTAATGTTGATAATTTTTAATATAATCTGACTCAGAAAATTTCGGAATGATTGCAGTTAAGATGTAGAGTTATTACATTATTTTGAAGCAGGAGATGTGAAAAATGTGCAGTGCCCTCACTAGGACTCGAAACCTAGACCTCTCTGACCTGCGGAAAGGAGGGAGAAAATACCTTATATAGGATATGAAATATCAATGTAAGGACAAAGCGATAACTTCTGCAGTTTAGTAGCGTATTCTTCTTTCCAGGGTGCTGGCCAACTATCTGATATGGAAACTTGTTGGAAAAGCTTTTCCGATGTTGGGTCTGGACTGGACGCCTCGTCGAGAAAAATGCTTCGATTATACTTATGAAAAATTCTCACTACTCCTTGATTCCATCTACCAAACACAATACGTTCCAGAGAACACCAGGAAAGCTGTATGTATCTTTGACCTACTATAACATAATATTTTTAATTTACACATTAACTTTTAATGTGCGTCGTTTAACCAATTCAAAAGGTAGATGCTTGTCATTTTACAGTATGCTTTTTAGTAACTGAAATCAAATGGCACTTAACGACAGAGGTCAGGAAAGGATATAGAGATCCTTATTATGATATGTGAAAAACAAATGAGAAATTGTAATTATTTATCATTATCTCGATTAAGAAGTTATTATTTGCTTATTCGCTTTATTCTGCATATAATTAACAGGAAGCCTAGCTGTATGCCTCACAGTACTTTTATACATAGATATTATTTAGTTTTTATAAAGTTCTATAATGTGAAAAATGTTAATCTTTATTCCGTTACTTAATCGTTACTTGGGATCTAAGAATACATCGCTGTTACAGTTGTCAAAGAAATGGAAAACGTTATTTAACATATTCTTTAAACTCAATTTAATATAAAAATAATAACCAAAAGAAAGTAATTAATTCAAAATTAAGCCATGAAATGGCACAACTTTCTAACAATAAATACTCATATCACAATTATTAACGTAAAACATATAAAACTTTTGAAAAGTCCTTGTTAATTTGTAATAAGCAGCCGAAGAATTTTCTACGCAGCCCCGTTACTGAATTATATCTACATGATTATGAAATCTTGAAAAAAGTATTAAAAAAAATCTCAAAATCTTTCAGATTTTACAATACGCCTACAGGGGCATTTTTTTAACGTTTTGCATGTTACTTTTATTTATTAAATATCATAATCTTCGCCCTTAAACCATAAAATTCAATTTATCAATATCTCAATCAATATATAGCAATATCTCAAAATAATTTAAAAATGAGAATATATTTATAATTTCAGATACACAGTCTCGCGCACTGGAGATAAATTTCACCCACACATTTTCCGTTGTCCCCTTCGAAATCGTCGATTTTGTTAATCAAACTCTCGATAAGTAAAGTGTTTCAAAATATGAAATACATATTAAAACAAATTCCAAATTCCCAAATAGAGCTTCCAGATGCCCATATTCGGTGGAGGATTACTTTATTCAAAACCTGATGGCTTTAGGTACCGTTCTTTTATCGCAATGCGAGAAACAAATTATTTTTTGTTTCTTTAAATATAACACAGGGCGATAATAGTTGGTGGCAACAATTTCAAAAGAGAAACGGACGTTTAAATTTTTCGACGCAAAATGCCAAAATGAAATTAATATCCTTTCTGGACTAATGCCCTTTGGGTAATAAAAATAAAGCACTTTAAAAGAGCAACAAAGGAAAAACATTTTTAATTGTTTATAATTTAATTAATCATCATGATATAATCTGTTCCGATGTGAACCTAAAATAAATTGAAACATAAACACACTATAAACATTATTAGAATACTCGAATAAGAAACCTGGAAAAAAAAGCATTGGGTAACTGAAAGCATTGGGGCAAGAAAATTTCGTAATCAAAGAAAAGGCAGAATTTCTAAAAATTTTGTAGACCAAAAGAAACATATTAACCTAAAAGTAAAATATTTCAAAGCAAAATTTGAAAGGAAATTAATAAATTAAAATGAAATTTACTCAAAAAGAATGCAAAAAATGTTTGAAAACGAAAGACAATAAGAAAATTGAATACTGATAGCCAAAAACATGAAAAGGGAAAAAAAATTAAAATATGAATGAATGATAAAGTAAAAAGTTTAGGTGCCTAAAAATTCGAAAACTTTATAGTAAAACTAAAACAATTAAAAATTCAAAAGTAGGCATGAAACTTTGCTTCAGTCAGATTTTAATTTCTTTTGTTCTCTAGTTCTTTTCATTCCGCTATAATTCCATTCAAATTAATTTATTTGAATTGATTAATTCAATTTTATCTTTTTTTTTTTTTTTTTTTTTTTTTTTTTTGAGTTTCAAGAACATTGCAAGTACATTTCAAGAACAAACATTTAGGCTTAGGCATCTATTTTATGGTTTTTATTACCAAATTTGAAATTTTTCTGCATTTATTATTGTTTAAAATTTTTACTTAAGTAATTTTTAATTAATTTATTGTGAATAAATTCGTTCCGTTATAATTTTAACTTGGAAAATTTTAGCTTTTATTTTACTGTACTTACTTTTGATTTGTAACTATTTTAGCAGTTTAGCTTTTCCTTTGCTTCGAAATTTAATTAATATTTATTTAGCAAATTGCTTTTAATACTTGTGTAGCACTTTGCTGTTGAGTCAGCCAATTGTAATTCTTTATATTTTTTATCGCATTGCGTTTGATTTATCCATTTTTTTTTATTTTGTTCAAGAACTCACTTACATCTTAAACATACAAAACGACACAAAATATAATTTAGAATTATTACTCGCGAGAGAATCTCGCAGAATATTAATCGCAAAAGACTCCGAGCGAGTTCTACCTTCAGCAGGCAGAACCCATTCTAATTCTTCCCTCTAAAACTTTCCTTTAAATGCTGCATCTTTTGTACTTCATTTTAAATATCCCGTGAGATAGAAATCTATATTCTGGCAGAAAATGGAAATGAGGAGCACAGGAAAGCGAATTAACATAAAATAACTGGTTGATAAACTAAACGACAAATTACAAAATACACTTATCTGACCAAAGGTATCCGAACAGCCAAGTGGTACGGACTCGGAGAGCCCTGAGGCATACATTAATATGATATTGATCCCCCTTTTGCATCGAGGATATCCTTGACGCGTCTGGGGAGACTTTCCAACATTTTCTGATAGGTGTTCACAGGAATTGACTTCCAAACGTCCATCACAATTGAAGTGAGTGCTGGAAGTGAGGAGGGTCGATTTGCCTGGCTACGTAATCTGCATTCTAGTTCGTTCCAAATGTGTTCTGTGGGATTTAGATCGGAATTCTAAAAAAGCCAGATCAGATTTTGAGCAACCATTTCTTGAAACGGTGACTGCACAAGTCTCGATAAGTGAATGGAACAGTTATCCTGCTGGAAGGAAAATGGGCCTTCCTCGAAATATTACCATAGAGCTGGAATAGCAGCGCTGTCCAGCATGTGCACATACATCTCAGAGTTCATGTTTCCACCTACAGGAGTTAAGGAAACCCTTACAAAGCACAGAAAACACCCCCACGCCATCATGCCGTCACCACCAAATTTTACAGTCGGCACAATGCAGTCCCTTAGAAGCACTCGCAAGCAGCTGTTGTTCAGCTTCCTCTGTAAGCTTGCGCATAATTCACTTGTCCAACAATTTCAGTTATACATTTTCTTTCTCCTGATTTAGAAACTTTCTACTGATTTAGCAGCTTTCTACTCAAAGCATTATAAACAATTACGACGCTATGTGACTTCAAGCAGATGTTTGCCATTTTACGCTTTTTATTTACAAAATGCGTTCATATCATTTGCGCAACAGCTGTATATTCAAGTAAAATATGACAGGCCTCACACATACGCAGTAATATCCGCAAACTTTACTAATCTGCGTGAACGTTTTTCATCTATCATGCTGTGTGTTCTCATGAATTGATTAACAAGTGCCGAATAGTTTTCCTTGTTGGATCAACTTTCTAAATCTGTGTGCCACCAGCGGTCAAACAGTAAAGGCGCTGAACGCTGGTTGTTCAGTCCGGCTTCGAATTCTGGGTGTTTTCGCCATTTTCTCCACGTGTAACGTGTATGAAAGGCAGATTTTTTAGCACGAGACATTCACACGAAAACATTCCTCTTTTTAGGCAGATAGCACTCGAGTGTTGTGTCATAACTGAGTAAACCAAACCTAAACTTTCCAAATGTGCAATGAAATTCATTTTGAACACTTTTATATTACTGACCTGTTGTATCATAATCAGCTGTTATTACGGCACATTTAAAGTGGGACGTAGCAACAGCTGTTCATTTCTCATTGTTTCTATTCTGAAACAAAACTTAATGCATAAAATAAAGCAAAAAAAAAATATTTTTCCACCGAATTTAATCCACAGTTCAAAGACACCCTATATATATAACATATCCAAGTGATACATTTATATTAGAGTTTGTCAAAAACTCTAACTAGACACTAGGCCATAAAACTAGACATTCATAGGTTTCATGGCCGTATTATACAATACCTAATTTTCACGCATTGCCAATTACATAGTGTATATGTTGGTCGCTTATCAACCCAGAATGAAATAACGCAGGGAAAGAATCTCTGTAACACAAACACCAATTATAGCTCATAAAATAACTTAAAAGCTCAATATAAAATAACGTAACGCAAAACAAAGGAAATAAAAGCAGTTAGTCAGAACCAGATGTGGGACCCACAACAAGCCAGTACTGGATTCTTTCCTTTTAAAAAGTAAAGGAGGTATTGAAATAGCGAAAATTTTCGGGTATCATATTTTATCGAAAATATCCATTTTGATTGATCTCGAATACAATTTAACGATGTTCTTGTGTGACATATATAGGCAAGAACTGAATAAAGGGTTCTTTTCCCCAAAAACGTATTGCAAAAAGGATTTAAAATGAATTCAGAAGAGATGCTTTCGTGACGTCTGTACAAACGTACCTAGGTATATATATATATCTCGCATATTAAAAAAATAAGTAGATTTAGATCGCTGAAAATTTGAATAGAAATGCTATAACATGTAGTTGTGCACCTCCCGTTGCAACCCCGTTGCATTGGCTGCAATCGCCCGCACCAAAAGCATATAAATAAATGTATACCCACTTTTTTGTTGGTCCCTGAAACCACCAATTTTCGAATTTTTTCTCCTTTTCTCTCCGAAATTTTTGAGTGAAAATCAATTGATTGCTGATCTTTTACCTCTAAATAACACAAAATAATTGCAGAATCATACATGGTTTAGGCCTTCAATAGGCCCTTTTAAAATTAGTTTTCAATGACAAATCTCCTTTTATCATATAAACAACCTTAAATTTCAAAAGCTATTCATCGCACATCATGATTTCTATCATAAATAA